AAGTCGTAGTTGCAACCTGTAGCCTTGCTGGTGGTATAAATCTAACGGCGAGTAGAGTGTTTTTTCATAAAGCACGCAGTAGGGTACCCCTGAGGTCTCCCCCCCCCCCCCCCCCCCCCTTCTCCCTTCCCTATTCTAGACGCTCGTGGAGGCCATAATTGCCTGTTAGAGCTCCAATCATGTCCCAGGAGGCTACCATTTCCCTAAAAGAGTAATTACTGACTCTAGCGAACTGTAGTGGGCCGGGAGTTAATTGGACCTTCAATGTTGGTATGTACGAAACCTCCATTGCTTAGTACCTTGGTCTCTCTATGTCATAAACTAGCAAGTTGTGTGACAAGCAGCATGGAGATCTAAACTAATTTTTGTTTTCAACACAGCGTCAGATGCGCGGGCGTGCGGGGCGAAAGGGAAAGGATGAGGTTGGCGAGACTTATCTCTGCTGTCGTACAAACGATCTGGAAGATGTGGTCGAGCTGATGCACGCAGATCTACCACAGATCTCAAGCGGTCTCACAACTGACAAGCACCGAATTCAACGAGCACTCCTCGAGGTTCTGTCTATACGTTTAGTTAATTCGCGGGAGTCCATCAACGATTATATCCGGAAATCGCTTCTGAATTGCTCTAGCGAATCAAGCGTAATCCAGAAACATGTTGAATCTAGTTTGCAGGATCTTCTTGAGATGGGGTTCATTGAGTCTGACGATTTTGATTTTTACAGTGCAACCCAATTGGGTAAAGCTGTTGTTGCATCGTCCCTCGAGCCTGAGGATGGTGCCTTCATCCATCGCGAATTGCAGCGCTCACTACAAGCATTCGTGATGGATGGCGAAATGCATATTCTTTACACTTTCACGCCTGTTCAAGAATTGTCAGCCCCCCTCAATTGGCAAATATTTCGGTCTGAGATGGAGGCACTTGATGACAGTGGACTTCGAGTGATGAGGTTTCTCGGGTTAAAGCCCACTGTGGTCAATAGAATGTGCGTCCAGTCTTCTTCGTTGTGTATAATCTGTTGACCTGTATCACAGGGCACAGGGTGGAAATCTCAAAGAATCAAGTCCTTCGGAAAAGGAAACCGCTCGTGTTTACCGAAGATTTTACCTTGCTCTTCAGCTAAGGGACCTATGCAACGAAATGCCTGTGCACATGGTAGCTCGCAAATACGATGTGCCGAGAGGTACCGTGCAAACTCTGGAGCAGACATGTCAAGGATTTGCTGCAGGAATGATCAAATTTTGCGAGCAAATGGGCTGGGGGTTAGATGGGACCAACATCAATCAATTCGCGCAGACTCAGCTTACTAATTTCTGCTAGGGCTATGGCAGCGATGTTAGATCACTTCTCGGATCGACTCAGGGCGGGTGCTAAAGCCGATCTATTAGCTTTGGCAAAGATTACGTTTATCAAAAGTCGGACTGCCCGAGTCTTCTACGACAACGGTTTCAAAACCGTTGCATCGCTTGCAAATGCCGACCCAAGAGAGCTTCTCCCTATACTCATGCAGGTTGGTATTATCCAATAAGATTAATCTATGGTGAAGAGCTAAGTGTAGCTATAGGCGCAACCGACTAAGTTACGAGTCAAATCTAAAGACGAGCAAAAGTATGAAGAGAAGCTCCTTATCAAAGCTCAAGTCATAACAGATTCTGCTAACCGTCTTTGGCGTACGTACTTATATTCTAATTCCCAAAATTGTTGAAGATCTAACAGTGTTCTAGAAGTCGAAATGCAACAGGATCTTGGAGAGGAATGATAACGCTGGATTGCAGCGTCATCTTTGGTACACCTCTTACCTGCTACGACGAGTAATCAAACACCTGATGGGGTGCTTTTGCCAAAAGAAGGTTTGGCGCAGCTAAGGGTGGGAAGAATATTGGAAACGTTAGTGTCCAAGAGGTGACAGCCCTTACAAAATAGCTAGACATCGAGGACGGCTTGGATTCTTTACTTGGCGTAGCGAGCTAGCTATACGTAATTGTCTTTTGTCTAGAGTAGACCTAGTGTAGACCGATAAGAATACTCTGTGTAGGGTGTAAAGTATAAAGAGCTATTATTTACTTCAAAATCGTGTGGCAGATACAGTCGTTTCAGGAAAGCCTACCCATGTCTAACAAGCTTCGACTATCCGCGTTTCTGAAGGGGTTACCCTCAGCAATGAAGTCTGCTATTAGTTTAGAAAATCTTGGAATCTAGGCACGAAAGGTTCCTGAGATTATACTTGTCCCGTGCATTTGATGAAGAGGCTAAATGGATAAAGACTAATCGATAGTATCATCTCTCAGTGCAAGTAACTCTCGGAGTACCTCGTCCGGTTTCGACCGTAAAGCGCTGTGGAACAAGACATTGGTTTCAAATACTTTGATACCTCTTATCCGAGAAGCAGTGACGCGCGCCAACCCGGCATCGACGTACATGTCGTTGTAGCTTGCAGCATATACAGGCACCTCATTTTTACCAAGCTGCTCGAGATTGTATAGTGGTGGCCATTCGTCATAGTTTGCGAGAATATGAGCTGTCTCCTTCATCTTGACAAGCTCGGAACATGTTTCGAAATGGAAAGGAAAAATCATCTCGCCCGAGAAGTAGAGGGGTTTGTCGCCTAGCGAAGCCAGTCCGGCCCAGTCTTTACGAAGCCATTGGAATTCCTCAATGCCTTGACCTACGCGCTCGGCTGCCCACTTACCAGCAACGCCAGGGCCGTAACACCAACACGGCTCGTGGAGCAAGGTATATATTGGAGCAATATCCCATCCGCCATCCTGCTCTAATGCATTCAGTGTCGCGCGAGAGAACACACCGAACTGGTCAAGGTCTCCTTTCATTCGTATGATCAGATTATGGACGGTGTCGAGGCCCCCATGTCCTCCGAAGTGAAGGCCTAATGTCATCAGGCGGTTCACAGTCAAGTAGCCACCAGCAGGTAGTAGAACGCCCTGTTCGCCGCCAAGGTCCTGGATCTTCTCGGCAATCTCTTTGACGGTTTTGACGTCTTGAGGAAACTTGCTGTAGTAGGCATTATTTCGTTCCGTAACCCTTTGATACGTTACCGTGTACACGTCTTCTGGCCCTTTGTCTAGCGACGCGAGCCCCCCGGTAATAAAGCATTCGCGCAGACCTTCGGGCGCGAACGAAAGATACGTCATCGTCATCATACCTCCGAAAGACTGGCCGAAAGTAGACCATTTCTTCTTCTCGGGAGGGAAATCCTTAGTGAGGCAGAGACGGACGGCCTCGCTATCCTTGACCAGGGTATCGGCTCTGAAAAGTTTCAGATAGTCGGCCTGTTCTTGGGGTCCACCGACACGTGCCAGTGTATGCGAGGAAATGGGACAGCTAAATCCCGTGCCGCGTTGATCGAGGAGCAGTAGTTCATAACCCCGGTCGAGCATGTGCTTGGACAAAGGGCTGTCTTGTGGTGCAGGGGTGCCATGACCAGGTCCCCCCTGAAGGAAGAGAAGGTACGGGCGCTGGACAACCTCGTTCGATTCGACTATGGGTCTCTCATATTTGATTGCACTTCTAGCAAATAGCCTGATGGTTTCTCCTCCGGGTTTCGAGTGGTCCAAAGGGACCTCAAACCACAATTCCTTGATGAGAAGCTTGCCTAAGAAGCTGTTTAGTCAACCGAGGTTATCGACCAGGGCATCAGGCGTCAGGATGAGAGCTCCGTAACGTAACGACCCACCTGGCACGAAATATGGTTTGCTCTGAGAAACCAGCTGAGCGATGATAGGAGCCATCTTTATTTACGTTTCGTTTTCGGGGGGAATAGGCAGGTATGCAATTGAAATGGTCTTTACACTGGCATTGATTTCCTTAACTGCGCAATTATGTATTAGAACAAGTAGAAAATCCGCCACGGAACTTGAGATGTGTTGAAGAGGGGAAGTTCACTCTGAAGTGGCACATCTGAATGACCCCTCCACTTGGACATTGCCCAAACTGGTAGCATTGAGGTAAGTACCATGCATTTATACTATAAGGATACCTGGCCGCTCACAACTTTGGTGATCGAATTGTTATGCCGAATAATATCTTATAAAACCAAGTATAACCAAGGATAGCATTTACCTACCTGGGTCTGGTAGAACCTGGAAGTTCGAGTGATGTACCTCTCGAAGTACTACTTAAATGGACATTTGTTAATGAGCAACTGCACCACCCGCCTGCATCTGGCACCTGCATGAACGCCTAAGCTTCGATATGTGAATATATATGGCTATTAGAGAAATACGCACATAACGTCAAAGGTTGCAGTGGCACCTGATGCCCATGACGGAATTTCCAAGGGTCGAGTCTAGGTATATACCTAGGTAGGTACTTTAGGCCGGACCGCTTCGGAGTTCTCAAAAATCCACAAAACTGGGTCCTCGACCCAAGTCCAACCTTGGCCCATTCATTTCGTTTCTTATTTTGTTGAGTCCACCTGCTCTCTTCTCTTCTCTCCTTGATAACTTTCCTCCATGGCTTCCAGGTCAGTAGCATAGAGCAGCGCAGGCAGGACCGTGTGAAAGAGATGGGCTTAGAAGTGTCCGGCATGAACACTCAGCTTCTGACGCTGACTTTGGTCGAGTCGTTCAATGCTCTAGCAGACCAAGTACAGAACCTGAGCGATCGCCAGACTATCTTGGAGCATAAGCTTCGGTATGCACACGAACAGGTACGTAGGTCTGCAGCTCATTTCCCTCCTATCTCCATCAAGGCGTCCCGGGACTACCTAGGCTACCTATTGTAGCCACCCTGTGGAACGGTAACATCATGTTTTACATGTTCGCACGTATCTCTTCATCTTTCTCTCCCTCGCTTCCTCCCTCCCTTCGCCTCCTTATGATGAGACTATCTTTAGCTCTAGATCGCGAGTTACCTTCGAGGTAGCGCTGACCGATACCATACCATAAAGTTTCTGAACTACGGCAACCCATGTATATGCTTCTTTGCTTTTAGGTTCCTGTCTGCTCAAAGCAATGCTCGCTGCATGTCATTGTTACTAACATGGGCAATACAATTAGTTCCAATACCTAGCCGACAAATATGCGGTTGCCGCGCATGAGGTATCAGAGACATTGGTGAACCTACAGGTTCCACCTGAATTACACACTTCCTCACTAGCAAATACAAATTTTGTTCCACTCCCTAATCGCAAGACCTCCGATTCCAAACATCAAATTGCCGTGATCATCCGCGAAGGTAGACGCGTCGCTTCCTCCCTAACCGACTTCAGCAAGAGTAGCCAGACCAGTAGGAACAGAGACAGTCTCGATCCCACAACTGTGACTACCATGTCCACTATACTCGAGCAGGACTTTACCGTGGAGGGGAAGAAGGGAAGCCTAGACTGTCCCTTCTCTCAGCAGGATGGGCAAGATTCACAGTCAAACCATCGACAGGGCCACCAAGTACATGAAGATCCTATATGTGCAGCTATGTATGACGAGACGGGCTCCCAGCAGGCAGCTGCCAAATGCCCTATTCGATATCTTGACCAACATTCCCCTGAGGAGATTGCAGATTACCTCGAAAAGCATAAACACGAGCTTCCCCGAAGCCATGAAGTATGTGTCAGACGCTACCAGAAAAACGAGGAGCATATTAGAAAGCTAGACGCCAAGTACGGCAATCTTGTCAGTATGGTTGAGGGCCTAGGAAAAATACACCAACCAATGTTACCTGAGCAAGACACTCGGCCGCAAAGTGATGTAGAACTGGCGTCAAACGATAGGGTACAAGACTGGGCACACACAGTCAGTGCTACTGCCGCTAATGACCCCGACCAAACTGCCCTAGACCATGACGAGGAAGACGAAGAGAGACAAAGTCACTTTGACCGTCCACTTAAAGAAGTTCGTGTTGGCGAATCGCCTAGCCGCCCTTGGGGTATATCAGTCCCGGTCTTCTCGGATGGGCAATCGAGCCAGAGTGTACCTCAAGGACGACCAGAGTCTCCTCCAGCACCAGTCCATATGCCGTCTCCAATTATGGAAGCGGAAACACCGTTACCGAAGAAGGGGAAATGTCCATTCGACCACACTAAACTGACAGCAATGAACAACGCGACGCCTCATAAGCAGAAGGATCAAAGTTCTATTCGATTAACTGATATTCCGCCCTTGAACCAACCCTTTACTCCCTCTCGACATGGTCCTCCTCCAACACAAACAGCTGCTAGCCCCTTACCTCAACCTGCCTTTATAAATCCAACGAATCCGGCACTCTCCAAATCAGGGGCTGCGCCTCAAATGGTATTCACCGGTCCGGTATTCATTGGCTATCCAGTCGAGCAAGCCATGCAGCTCATGCAGTTTTTTCAAACACAACAACAGTAGCAGTTGGACGCATCCAATTACGAAGACCCGTCAGCTCCGATAACCCAATAGAGGCTGAACAATGAATTTGTGTCTTTATTTTTATTTTTAAGTTTTCAGCAGGCATAATTAACGCATCGTGTTTTTGGCATGGGCGGCGTATATCAAATTGCATAAGTTCGGAGTTCGGAAGTTCAGAAATAGGAAGATGAAGGATTCGATTACGAGATACAAGGACGAGGCACGATAGCATTATTGGTAAAAAGAGCCTCTATAATACACAAATGTAATATGACGGACCAAACTGTCGATGTGACTCGTAATTTATAGATGCTATGACCTGTCGTTGCCAGAAAAAAAACCTTCATGAAGCTAAACAATCATCGCGCCATTCATGTGCCCCTTTCCCAGTCCCAACGCCGTTGCCAAGATGTATAGCCAGTTGTTACCCAAGTATATTGTTACGTAGACCTAGTTCGTGTCAAGGTGATTTAGATGTATCCTCTCTTTCTAATCCCGACCCGCCCGTGTCTAGACCTAAATCTGGGTCGTCTTCATCTCTATAAGCGCCGTGGGGGCTTTCTGTGTTATCCCAGAGCGAGATATCATCTTCATCCATAAGTGCAGCAGAATCGCCCTCGCCTGACCGCCTCAAGAACACGCCCTCTTCGACATCGTTGTAGGCAAGCTCATCAGCAAGCAAAACACCATTGTCATCCGTTGCCGCTGCTTCTTCCACAGCAAGCTCTTTCGCGCGTCGCATCGTCCGTCGATACACGAACCAGCCAACAGTAATGCCGAGGACGAGGCCAAAAATGATACTCAAGTAATTGATGATGCGGGTGCCGAGGGGCATATCGTCGTTCTCGGCGATCTGTGCAAGCCGGTCACCGATGAAAACGTGGATAAGGAGTTTTGGAGTGGAAATAGCAGTGGCGAGCGCAAAGGTGCCAGGAGAGATGCTAGGGATCGTGGCAAGAAATCCGTTGCTAAGGGAGAACGGTAAGGGACAGAGGCGAATGGCAGCCAAGACGAGCAAGCCGTCGTGTCGCAAGACTTGGCCGAGCGCCACAAAGCGCCGGTCCTCACCGACAAGCCGATGTACATAGGCACTGAGCACGGTGCGACTAGCAATGAATGAGGCCGTCGACCCGACGACGGTGGCGGCGGCAATGATGAACCAGCCGCGCGGAAAGCCGTAGATGAAGCCCGCGATGGTGACGGTCGTGCTGTACCCGATTATTGGCGGGAAGGCCGTCACGGCGGACAGGAAGAACAAGAGAGCCCATCCACCGGGGAGGTTCCTCCAGCCCTCGGCGAGAGGACGCAGAGCGACGAAAATGCGGTGGGAGAAGATGAGGAACAAAATGGCTAGGACAAGCACCACGAGCCCGGCTACTGCGGAAATCACTTGCTGCATGGGCGTCATGCTGTTGGAGAGCTTCACTAGCTTGTTCGTTATCGAGATGCTGCTCTGCATTATCCGCTGCGCGAGCGGCCTGTGCTGGTCGGTACTCGCACGGCCCCGCGAGTACGGCGTTGATAGACGACGCATCCCCGGAGTCCGGGTCTCCCCGAAGAGATCATCGGAACCGTGTGAACGAGCCCACGGTGGAAGAGGGCCGTTGTGGGACGGAGACGTTGGCGAGGGTTCGGGAGATGGTGAGGGAGGGAGGGCCAGCGCCTGCGCTACTGTTGGAGGAGGGTCGGCGGGCATCGTAGAGGCTTATTTCTCGTGAGAGAGCTACCGAGAGAAGACGGGATGCCGCAAATCTCGGGTGCGTCAAGTCGGGCCAGGCCGATAGATGCAGGGCAAACCACGCTGTCGAGCAAAGTCGATTCCAGACAGAGAGGTAGGCCGGGAGCTCCGGTTTCGATGCCGACTCGTGAATTGGGGTGTGTGTCACTTGGGAAACTGCTTGAATGGAGTTCACCTAGCCATGTCGTCGCTCTCTGAGATTTGGGATCAGATCATCTGGGTACTTGAACTGAGGATGTCGCGAACACGATGAACACGATGTTGTATGTAAGCACTGAGGTTAGGTGTACGATGATGACACGGCTCGTGGGGCGCCTCGATGTCTTGACAGTCTTGGCATGCGTAGGCCTTTGGGGCGATGCAGTGTTTCAGCAAGGGGGTACGTAGTACATCCCTAAATACATAGTACCTGCCACCTGGTTGAGTAGGTACCTCGGTCGGGTACTTTTTGGGCAGAATGTACCTGCTTGTATCCTTACGTGTATTCATGTGGTCCTCAATTTCAGCTTAATCCAAAAACAACTTCGGAGAATTCAATTGGATTATCATCAGTAGTTGCTATGACCAAGATACAACCACAGTAGAACCATTATAACAGAGCTACAATAGGGACATGACTGCTCAAGTAGTTTTGCTTGTGACATTCTAGGTAGCATGCACTGTAGAATCTACAAGTAAGCTGTTATTATTGGTGTCATAACCCCCGTGTCTGTAGGTATGCCCACATCCTTAATTTACATCCTCATTCACTGAGGATAACCTCGCTATCAACGAAACGGCTGTAATGATTGTCTCATTATAATATGCCTAATCGAGGAGTACCTAGAGCGAGAAATCAGTCAAAGTCCCGGGCACTGGCCAAGCTTTCTGTGACTCTGTGACGACAGCAGCAAGATATAGGTATCGCTTCTTGAGGCAAGGAGTTCCAACGGTTATATCAGACAATGACTGCGCTCCCTTTATATACCGTTGTGTTGGCCTCATGTATACCTAGGCAGGCATAGTAGTGTATGGGGTAAGGGGTCACAACAACATTTCACCCTCCCACCTTGAACACCTTGGACCAGTGCGTCTCGTGATACTCCGCTAGATCATTGAAGGCTGCTCTATCTGAAGATGACAGGATGCAAATTGGGACTAAGATTCTGAGGCTAACTCTTGTTGAAAGCAGGCGTTGATGATAAAGGGAGAGCATCACTGGCAACACCACATGGCTTTAACCTTCAATAATTGACACAATATTCATTCAGGACCTCCGGATTGATCGCCTCGTTTCTCCTCGGTTCTTCCCAACACCGTGAACGATCAACGTGGAACCATTGACGCCTATCTAGGATATCATCGCCTGGGCATTGGACGGAGAACCGATAAAGTGGCTGCGATCTATTGTCTCATAAACAACGTTGTCGAATGTTCGCGACGTAGTAGGTAGATACGGAAACATCCGCGCTTAGCTATCATGCGGAAACCTGCATTTCGAACCGATTCTGCACATTGCATGTAACACCGCGGAGTCAGGCGACAAGTATTTAAGCCCATCCAGGCCATAGGCTTTTCGGCCTATATCTAGAAGGCAGTTAAAAGGGGGACCCAACTCCTCCCACTTGCCTCAACGAAATATCCCTCTTCACTCTTCCTTCATCGACACTATATCAACAACTCAACATTACCATCCAACCATACATCGCTCACTACCTTTATCTAGCCCGCACACAATATGAGACCTACTATTACTTTCATTACGGCACTGCTCGGCTCCGTGCCCATCGCGAGCGCGGGCCCTGCAGCTTACGGCGTATGCCAGGCTGGGTGCGCAGCCGTTGTAACAGCATGTTATGCTGCGGCGGGGTATACCTGGGGGGCTACATTGGGTATATCTGCCCCAGCTACCATTGTTGCGTGTAATACTGGATTTGCAACTTGTCAGTCGGCATGCTGGGCGGCTGCTATTATGCCAATCCCATGATGAGACGAACATGTGTAAGTGAATCCTCGCTTCATGATCAAGACATACAGGAAGATGGGGCCTCTCACTAAGCCACTGACTTATTCAAGTAGCCACCATCGGTTCATAATGTGACTGGACACATAGGTGCTGGGATGGGTGGTATTCAGATATAGCATTATGCTGTCGCTGTCACAGTCACCGGAACATAACACTGGAGGCAATCATGTTACAAAATTGTTATTACAGATGTTCTTAGGCGAAACGCCAAATAGTACACGGTGTTTTTTACACATTTGTATTTCAGATACTGCTATGCCTCATAACGTGACCTCTTAACATCGAGATGCTCAGAGCGCAATGAGGTACAGCTCACTTCTTGTCGACCGCCCAAGTATCGAAAAGCTAAATCTTGACACCCAGCGCCTCGTAGATTGCCTTAATATACGCCCTCGAAGCTGTATTTCCAATAAGAGTAGGCGATCTCTTATTCATAGCGTAAGTGATTGTAACTTTGCGACCGATATCCATAATGCAGAGCGAGCCACCTGACCCGCCCCAAAAAGCAATATCGCCTGTAGGCAGCCAGTCGTCGAAACGCTCACCATTACTTTTTATGGCATATCCGATGCCGAAACGGATAGGTTGTCCAACAGCGAGGTCCACTCCGTATGACTGTTCCTCCAAGATCTTGTCGACTGTTGCTTTAGACAGCAATGTCTTGTGTTCAGAGCTACCCGCGAGCGTAATGTTGGAAAGTATTTTATTCAGAGCGCGAGCGTTGGAATACCCGTTTGAAGCACCGATCTCACCCTGCTTCCATGCTGGCCGGCTGCCAACATCGGGCGGCATCGTAGGGTTCGCGATGGCCTTGACGAAAAGGGGCCCTGGGTTGAACGATGGTGCAGCCCCCGAGGAAGTCGCTGTTACGAGATGGCAGACGCGGGGCTCGTCTTTCTCCGCGATGCCGAGTTGGAAATCGGCACTTAAGGGGGTAGTGATCTTTTCAGTGATGTATTGCTTCAGACTCATTCCAGTCACGCGACGGATAATTTCACTCAACATATGCCCGAAATTCCAGGCATGATATGCCGACGCTGTACCAGGCTCCCACCAAGGAGCTTGAGCGGCCAGCTTTGCCGAAGAGCCCACGGGGTCACAGATCTCATCCATGGTGATCTTCTCGTCCCACCCGGCGACACCGGAAGTATGCGACAATAGATGGCGGATCTCGACATTTTCTTTCCCGTTTGCGGCAAACTCGGGCCAATATTTGGACACCTTGTCATGCACCGAGATGGCGCCACTATCAACGAGCATGAGGACGGCGAGACTGCTGACCGTCTTCGTACTGGAGGCTATGCCGACAATGGTGTCTTCAACCCAAGGCCGCTTGGCTTCTACATCCGTAAAGCCGCCCCAGATATCCACGACATTCTCACCATCAACGTTGACGGCTATACAGGCGCCGATCTCCTCTCCTGATTCAATGAACTGTTGGAGAAGAGAGCGAACCTTGTCGAACTGCGGAGTGCAGTGCCCTTGTACCTCAGCCATATCCGAAGTCTTCCGTGAGGGTTGAGGGGTGTTGCTGTGATGAAGAACTTTGTATGTGTTTATAGGGGACGGGTTTATTAACAGAGGAAGCGTCGAGCAATTAGAAAATGACGGCAGAACTGTCAGTATATATACAAACAAATAGAAACATGTAGTACCATGTATCTGTATATGCCATTTCTCTGAGTTCGATGGTCGCATCGCTAACCCGACCTATTCTGACCGGTATGACGGGATGCCGGTAGAGAGCGGGGCCTTGTTGGGGTGATCAGGGCCTACAGCACCCGTCACCCTGTCCGCTATACGGTCTTCACAGATAATTCTCGGGAGGCATGTCAAGGAGGCTGCGCCGTAATAGTCCGCGGAGTGTGAGTCACTTCTGCGCGCTAATCTTGATTCTGCTGGCCGGCTGAATCCTACGGAGGGATAGTCGAAACTACGGGGCTAAATAAAGTCCGATGTTCGACATCCGCGGACCTCCTCCAAGGTCTCCAGTGTTAGCTTACACTTCCCATTCCTCAATGAGTCTAATCAATTAGATTATCAGTTATGCTCTAATTACGCTATGGTTGCTGTACCTGCCTTAGCACTAATCTACTGCGAACATTACTGCTTGTTGGAATGCAAAAAAAGATAAATTATCCAAAAGTTAGGCAAAAATATAACTTACTGTTCCCGCCCGGGATCGAACCGGGGATCTCTCGCGGTACTACGAAATCGTTTTTAATCACAGATTTCTTGTAAGGCGAGCTCCATAACCACTAGGACACAGGAACATTCAGGAAGTTGTCATTGGTTATTGAAATGAGGCAATAAAACAATACTAGTAGTGAGAAACGTTTCATTTGAACAATGTCACATGACTCTTTATCATGGTGACCTGTCTGTCCAATAGTGCAATAGCTAAATAGATTGGAAAACTACCTTGACGGGCCAGATCCTAGTAATAAAGCCAGAAGATATATTAACCCGGTGGAAATTTACAGGTATCATGGCTGACACAAAAGACCTCTACGGTGATTCACTACGAGCTGTTGTGTTTCGAGCCAAGTGATAGGCGACGATAATCCGTTCCTGGGATGCGCATTCAACTGATAATCGTTGAATGGTCTAGATGGGGGTTAGTTTGGTATATCTCGTTCGGATAGATCAAGAGAGAACGTTCTTTGGGCCTGGCCAAGTTTTACGAGGACTGAATGATGTAAAAGTATGCTGTATAAGTGGAACAAGGAGAAGGAGTCGCTTGTCCTTTGCCATGCTTTTCAACTTCAATGTTGTTAGGGATGGTAAAGTGCTGACTGAGGGCAGCTAGGTACTTCGGTATGTAGACGAAGGGAATTGTATGTCAAGCAACTGCCACCTGTCCAAGCTCCTTCTCAACTGCTCTGCTTGACAAGTGCGAAGTTGAGCAATGATCTAAGGCTTCCTAAATGCGGACTATGGCAACAGACAAAAGCTTCATCACCTTCACATCCACACACGTTATAATCGCAACATGGATATAATAATATGATGGATATTATAATTTGATTTTTCCGTGCTTAGCGGTCAGTCCGGCACATATCTAGCTACTACATACACATGTATATAATCTTCGTGCATAGGTATTGCACACAAACCACTTGCACAGTGGTTAGCAGTAATTCCATCGCGGACAGGTCTGTGTCCATGCATGCAGTGCTGTTGCTTGCAGGCGCGCCTTCAATGCTCCTCCCTTCTTTACCTACTACCTAGCTTACATAATAGGTACACCATACGCACTTGTACTGTCGCACTGCAATTCTGTTTGCCTGTCCTCCTGTTGTGCCATAAATACTTAAGTACTTACTCTTTCCCACCACCTTGGGTTATCCGTGTGATATCTCGACTTCTTCATCCATGCTTCACCTCCGTTAGCATCGTTGGTACTGCAGACCCTGGACCTGGGCTTGGTGCACAAATCGTACCTTCTCCTTCCCAAGCTCTATCCAGGGATTCGCCACAATGACGACGGCTTCCACTCAGCCGACGGCGGACATGGAGCTGCACAGCCAAGTCATCCAACAGCTTCTCCAGTCGATGGACTGTGCCCAGTATCTGAAGGACTCATTGAGTCAATTTCTTGGCAACATCACCACTAATGTCAACCACAAGGACTTAGCCTATCACCTGTTCTGCATTGTACGTCAAGTTTCCCTCTGATATCACATCTCAGGACCTAGGAAGTGAAGCTAACTCCACAGGTCACCCTTTATATTTCCAAGCAGACCACTCTTGACAATGAGCAGATGTCCGTTCTGTGTCGAAGTGCGTACTACCAACCCACCTCAACTGCTTTTGGAGATCTTCTAGCTCCAGGTTCTCACATGTTCCAGAGGCAGAAAAGATCGAACTTACCTTTGGCCACGATAACTGATATTTTTTCCCCATAGCCATCGAACAGTTGAGACAGGATTGGAGCGAAAGCAATGCTTCGTCAGAGAGTCTTGGTGCGCCATTGCAAATTGAGGACGTTGATATGAGCGAGGACCCCGATAATGTATCCCAAGCTCTCAGCATTTCTCGCTCCATCACCCCCGATAGGTTCGTACGTGAAGCTGAGAAATGCCTTTTGGTAGCCTCAAATTTTAGCGGAGCTGTTAGTTCCAAGGATTCGAAGGATATCGCCAACTTAAAGTCACAATACCCATTCGGATATCGACTAATGACTGGCCAGGGCTGGTCAAGCCAGAGTGGTCTTGGTCCTGACGGGTCTGGAATCCAAGCGCCGCTTGATGAAAACACCCTGGCCCACACGTTCAGATACCGAGAGTCTCCTACCGGACTAGGATATACAAATAAGCCTAGCAGCAAAATTCCTGGGAATGACAATCATACAGCACCGAGCGGCAAACAAGCAGAGGCATTTGTTGACCCAGCATCCGCCGCTTGGCACCAATATACGGTTGACCCCCGTGGGGGCGACCTGACAGCAAAACCGGATTACATGTACGACATCAACACTACCCTACCAAGAGAGGCCGTGCATTCTCATTTGCTACGAACGGGGATCAATAGCGGCGTTAAGACTATCATCCAAGACCAGTGCGTTATCCACGACAAGTGGAGGGATATTTCTAATCACACAAGTGCCCTTCAAATTAAGAAGAGTGTGCCGCAGAAGATGCCGAAGACAACAACAGAAACTACCCTTAAAACGCCTCGTACTTTTGTACTTGATGGCAACAGCAACGGCTTTACTGGCTGGTAGATTTAGGCGTACATCGGATTCTCAAGGTTGAAATGGAGAAAATGATACTTTCAGGGAAAAAACAAACAAAGGGCCCTTGAAATATGAAATCTATTATAAGAGTAGACATAACGAAGAGTATGAGTCGGAGATAATTGTGATAGTAACTGTGGCCGTCTTTGATTGGTCACCGTAGTCTACATGCTAGCTGCGTACAGTTGTGTAGTGAGATTACGGTAGTCCGTGCAAAGCTTCCACCAACTACATAAATTCTTAACGCCTTCTGTCTAGTTATAAGTAAACGTGTAGTTTTGACAACAATATTATATGCTAACAATACTACGAAACCCGCCTTACCTTATCCTATCTTAGCTCGTTGGGCCATCGGTGACGCTTTTGTAACATTTCAGCGATTTCGTACTGGGATAGTGTAAGTGGTGCTAATTGGCTGCGTTTTTCAAAGAGGCAATGGTCCACAGCACCAAAGCTGGAATCCTTCTAACCTCAACCCCTAAAGCCCAAATGCTGAACCAAGGGAGCGAAAAGCTTTCGGATAAAAAGTTCCAGCTACGACTTCGAGGTATATCGTCTCCGCTACGCCGAAGTGTTTAACTCACTGTCCGCAAGCTTTTTGCGCCTACCAGAGTGAATTATGGGTGACATAAGCGCGTCTTAATTGTCATGAAATCAACGCGATATTCAATCTCAAGACAGAAGGTCTGCCAGCAATGCTCAGCCTCCAAGGCAAAATGTGACCGTTCCGAGAGCGGCTGCTCAAGGTGCGTCCAGAGAGGCTTGACATGCATTTACCCTGGAATGCCTTGCTCGCCGGACTCGATACCTGTTGTGGATGAGCGGGCGACGCGGAACCGCCGGACTACAACAGTTGAGTCTGGTGATGAGAATGCGGCACCAGCACGGGTGCTGCCTAGGACAAATAATTTGCAACTGCACGAAAATCACTCTCGTACAGATAGAGATGTGTCCCCTCCGTGGGGGCCGACTTCGGCACCTCGTCATGTACATGATGAATTCGACGAACTGGATATCAATGACTTTGTTGACCTCGGACTAATTTGTCCGATCAATGCAGAAAGCATTGCTAACCGCTGGCTGGGAGCATACATCCCGCTACCGAACCAAAAGGTCAAGAAATACCCTACTGCAATTTCAACCTTCCTACATCAAATATTAAAATCATATGTTACCGTAACTATCCGCGGGCGAGGCTATCCGCCATTCATACATGCTGCTCAAGTTACCACGCGCCTAATCAGACCCCCTCTATCCACGTGCTTAAGCTTGGTTCGCATGTGCGAGCATCAATTGCCCGGTAGTGAAGAAACGACAGCCACCGTCCTCCAGCGAGAGATGCAGAATTTATTTGAGCATCGTGAGACCTTTGACGCCACAACTCTACTCTGTGCTTTCCAGGCCTATCTAATATTTACCATGGTACTGTTCTTTCGTCTCGGTCAAATCTCAAGTCCATTTCTCCGCGAGGCCGTCATGAATCTTCAAGAGTTTGCTTGCGCAGCGGCAAGGAGGGGTCTTGTGTGTGATGCTGAGCAGCAATATCTTAGGCCGAAGTGGGAATCGTGGATTGTGGCGGAGGCGAACCGACGCACTCTGTACACCATGTATCTTTTTGATGGCGTGCTTTCTGCCTACGATGGTTTACCGACTTTCGTTGGAACGGAACTCTCGGGTCTACCTGCTCCCGCAAACCAGACGCTCTGGAGAGCTGGTGTACGGGAGCAGTGGAATGCAGCTTATAATACGTTCCTGGCGGATTGGAGTGAGGGTGGCCTTCGTATCGATGAGCTGTGGCCTGTTCCTGATCATTTTGGGGAAAGTGATGTGACAAGGAGGCGAAACAGGGTCGATCGCTGGCTCGAAGGCCTTGACGAATATGGAACCATGCTCTATGCTGTAACTAGCTGTACGCACGGTTAGGCAACACTGATTTTGAACAGGTGGGAATGACTTCACATCTACATGAGTTTGCGCATGGGGCTGTTGGGCCTCGCAAAGGATGGGCTATCCCCAAGCGGTCTCGTAAAACCATGCCATTTCCCCTTTTATTTCATATGCTGGACTATTACATGACAAAATGATCAGCTGACTTGCGAAGAGCTTATAGCCTTTGATCAATTGGCATTCCTAGGTAAGACATACAACCGGCGAATCATGCCTGGTCCATTGTTTTGAATTAGGGCGTTAGACGGGAACGCCCCAGGCAGGCAACCCATTCATTGGTTCTGAAATGCCGGTTTGGGGCTACCTATTGCATAAGCAACACGATGCGATTTTGAGCGTACCCCTACAATGACTGCGGGAGGAACCGAGACATTCTGACACTTACTATAGATTATCGACAAGTCTATTCCGAAGCACGACGAATGCAGAGAACATACTCGATGCTGCGAATTTCTTTGTTCGCTTCTTTGCTTTCCCTACATCTCGCCGTTTCCGGCGCTATGGTTGGCAGACGTGAAAAAGAGCCTTAGCCAAGACAGTTTTTGTGCACCCTACAGTGCATTTCCAAGTTCTTCTCACCAGCGTTTAATGGTGACTTCTCATCGGAACTATCTAGTTTTCTTCTCTTTCTCCCAACAACGTCTTAAGAGATATTAATCCGAACTGGTGAAGATGGTAGTGCCGGTTAAGAAACCATCAGGGTCAGCCCCGAAAGGGCGACTAGACAATCCAATATACGCGCGTACAAGTGTGCTATGCAATGGACAAATTGTATGGAAAGTGAGGGGAGAGCAAGACTTGACGTATTCTGCGACTGATCCCCAAAGAGCTGATTTAAGATATCCCATTGATGCGACTGACAACCTCAATGCTCTTAATGGCCTACAGCTCTACAGATCGAAACCCTTGGCACCTCTGGAATTAAAGCAGCCTCTCCGACACGTGCAATCGTCACTCCCAAAAGCTGTCAAGTCTGCGATCTATACCGGCGACCTATACGGATCATTAGGGGGTGTATTCTCATGCCTAAACGAGGACTTCGATACCACGGTTAGCAACGTTTTCGGAAATGAGGTTCGCGGGGACGGGAACTTGAACTACAACGACTTCTTCCGGCGACTGCGTCGATCAGAATGGCTTCTTTGGGACGTAGAGGCTGAAAAGGGGCATTGGGTCGTTGTGGTTGCCCATTTATACAAGAGCATCATTGGCAATTCTAAGAAGAGAAACTTCCCTGACAACGCAAATATACCGGCTACGACACAATCATCCGACTTCAATGCCATTGATGCATGGTGCATTGTTTCGCCAGAGAACGGAAAGCATGGCGATGCCCTTGTAAAACGCGTCGAGACCCGACTCCCAGCTGTGCTCGTGGAGGGTGGGATACGATTCGATGTAGACTCCGAGCGAATAGCGAGCATCTGGGTCCCTACGGATAAGAGCAACTGGGCATCAGGTCTACATGTCTATAACATCATCAAAACATTGATGCACCGCCTTACAGAGTTTCATTGCAGAGAAACGGCCTACGATGAGTCGTTCTGGGATCCCCTTCCGGGGTGGTTGAATGTTGATGAGGTCAGAGCCGAGATGCAGGTATGTCCACATTGCACACTAATACTCTTCACCCATTCATTCAAAATCCTAACACATCTGAGCTAGGGCCGGGCTGCCCAGCGCTGCATGGCATCTACTGGCTACCGCTCTCGGATTGCTATCGAAGGCGTGCGTCGGTACATTGGGTGGAAGGAGGTAGTTCGTGCCAACGAGCTACGACCTCGCCATAGAGACAATATAGCTTACCGGACAGGGCTATATGGGAAGGATGGGCATGGCATTCCCGTCAGCAAGAAGTGGTCCAAGTCCGGGGACAAGACTGCTCTATCTGATGACGAGGATGACGGCAAAGACAAGTTTTCTCCCACTAGCGACGACGACGACGTCTCCGGCAGAGGATTCCGATATGAGGATGAGATCAACATAGCTGGGGGTCCGGTTGGCCCGCCACCTAGCCACGTTTATGGCTGGCATCCATCGGAAGATTCCGAAGACGACCTGCCTCGAGCCCGAAACCTACCCTTGGGCAAGATAGCGGAGCTGAAAAAGCTAGGTATCGAACTGGATTTGAGTGACGTACCGAAGAACGAAAGCCACGGATACCAAACCTACACCGAGCACGTCGACTCCACCCAGCAAGAAGCGTAAGGCTGACAGGGCCGATATAGAGGCGGATATCAAGAAAGCCGGAAGCGTGACTGCCCTCCTGAAGCAACGATTAGCTAAACTCGGGGTTGAGGTGACGGATGGTTAGGGAGCATGCCGAAAAGTTTGCGGTGATCAGCGAGGATGATTACGTGTGTGCCTAGGTAGATTACCTATGTAGATATGGCGGTAATACACTGTCTTACCTGGGAAGTTTGCAGACATTGTTTGGCCTGGTGATGACAACCTGTAAGGATCAATTGGCTGATGAGGATAATGCCTGGGTTATGGTCGATAGAGAAAGTTTCAGAGGAGGGCACCGTCTGTATCCAGGTCTTCAAGTTTGAATTAGGCTATCGCTTACGGTATTCTCATGACATGTTTAAGCCATTATATCAGCCATCTGTTTCAGACGATAAGCCTAGCTGAGTAACGTAGGGCAAACAAACACTACAAGCCTACCAGTCGAGCAGTCTAGAGAAGGGGGGAGCAACGAAGGTTGCCCCCAAGCAGGGCGGTATTGCGGACATGTACTGCATACACACATATCTTATGTATTATGTACGTGAATACGGTGAGTGGACAACCAATACGCTTTATTGAATATCTCGACCAGCGAGTTCTACCTAGCTCGCCTAGCCAGTAGAAAAGAAGGTGTAACCAGCTCGCTATTCTTTTATACCCTAGTGCCATTTGCGCCCCTTACAGTAGGTACCTACATACATAGTAGGTAGATACTACCTTATGTACTTATGTAGGTAGTAGGTACCTACGCGGTCAAGGCCTACCCGAGTGAAATGCATGACCCCACCTCCCCTTTACGGACCGCCCCATGCAAATCTGCAGGGTCCGATGCTCGGCTGGGGCCCTAGCACGGCTTCTGTCGTCATTGTCATTGGGTGGCTGAAAGCTGTGGTCGCGAAAAAAAAGTCCCATGAACAGTCACTTGGGCAAAAGGAAGACCTCCCCTGTCAGTGTGCCCTGGGCAGACCTGGGGCTCTGACCTGGGCTACGCTATGTGATGGGGGCTTCTTCCGTGCTGGGGTCCCGATTGTCAATCCATCCCTCTTACTAACCTAACACTCTTACTTGCCGTTCCTCTCCTCTCTCCTCCTTTCATTGCTCTGTTGGCACATACAGAACGGTTGGTGTTTCTTCAACTTCCACATTGTCTTTCTTCCCTCCGCTCATCCGACCATACCGCATAAACCATAGATCCTTAGGAATGATACCCCGGAGTCCGCACCACTCGTTATTATTCATCCTTGCTGTTCTCTAATCCCCAGTCTTTCCCGATGCCGCCGGCCAAATCGAAAGCAACCCACGAAGACGCCAAGTCGGACACTGCGAGCCTCAAGGAACGCAATGGTCACGGCACCAAGGACGGCCACAAGACCAATGGCAAACTACAGCGGGTAGCCAGCTCGACCGGCTCTCAACTCAAAGAAGCTGCGTCTGCCAAAGGCTCGACATCCACACCAGCAGCAGCAACTGTGCTGCAGCCCATTGCTCCAGGAGTAAGTTAGCATGACAACAATGTGTCTACCGTCGCCCGTAACGAGAAGTTCTGGTAGCTCTCTTATTAACACTGTTCTCTCGTTACAGCTACAATGGTCAACCTTCGATCGCGATGTCCTGCACGAGTATCGCCGTGAACACCGGCTCGACACGCCGACCGCTTTCTCTTCCTCATACCGCTTCTGGGTCCTATCACAATCTTGTGTCGGCAAACAATCACCCACGATGGCGCGACGAGCACAATTCCGGCGGCAGAGCAAAGACGACCTTGCTAAGGTTGTGCGAAGACATTTCAACGGCGCCGGGGTCCAGGAGAACGACGTCATTGTCGAGTTTTTGCACAAAGTGAGAAATCCCGGTGTGGCCAAACCAAGAAGGAACAAAGAGGCACCACATTCCTCCCCGCTTCCTTGAGATACGCTCTGGTCTGGTCATGATATAATACGTGATTGCGACTAATGCGTTATATATATTCGGTTTGTCTGGATTGATTGAGTCACTGCCAGATGCACCACATGCCTACAGGTATGCATACATAAAACACACACATATATGCTACACGCATAGAAACCCGCATCGGCTTTTGCTGGGTTGGTATGGGTGAAGGTATATTTCCGATACCCGGAAGAGGTTGTTGCACATACTTTGCATTTTCACAAGGAGTTAAGGCGGTTGGTCTGTCTTCGAGCACATCATTGAAGGATTACTTAGGGACTGGTTAAATGATGGGTTTCTTATACGAAGTTTATGTGTCAAAGGATGGAAAGGGACTTGGAACTGTGATATAAATGTTTGCAAGGCATAAGGTACAGCTATCCATTGTATCTACACTACGTTACGCTTTACTGTCGTGCATACACTACCTAATGATATCTTTATGGAACGTCTCTATTTGAAGCGAAACTTTACCTACTGTCACCTACCATCTTGAATATCCATTTCTTCATGTTGTCTCTGCTCCCACTTGTAGAAATCTTGAAGCGACGCAATGCAGGGCTAAAACCACTTAACTCGAATTCAATCTAGCGCAAAGTTAACGACTTCCTGTTTCGGCAGTGGGACTATCTTTTCTTATCGGTGCTAATCAGTAAGCGAGATAAGTACCGTCCTTAGCCAATCCCAGTAGATAGCCAGTCAGCTTGCGTCGAGAAGTTTCCCGATCACTCGCGAGCTTGGTAGTCGACGGTCTTGGCATTTGCGCTAGAGGAGAAAAAATGTTGGAGCGTCATCGCACCTAGACCAGACATATGAGAGATGCTTCCTATATACAAATTTCTTCCTGTTCATTGACCCTAGAAGATCGTGCGGCGCTGGGAGTCGTGTGTTTCCCACTCGAGCGACATGTTCTAGGTTCTTGTAACGATCATTTATTATCCTCCACCTATCACCGAGATTCGAAAGATGAATTCTAGTGTATTCGTAAAGGCGGCGCTGCCGTCGCGCATGCTCTCCCCAGCTCAGATATGTCGAAGACAACGGTTACGAAATAGTTTGCGACAGCGCAGGACACCGACTAACTCAATATCCTACCTGTCAACGAGACCTGTACAACCACCCGCGAGGCCGTCACCTCTGGGATCCGCCCAAAAGAGGGTGAGTGTCTATTGTTCTTGCACTGGATTACCCTGAGCTAACTATGGCAATCGCACAGCCATTCCACGCAACCTCGAGCCACCTCGCCATCAAGGATCCATACAAAGCCCTCGGTGTTGAGAAATCTGCTACGGCTAGTGAAATCAAGAAGGCGTATTATGGTCTAGCAAAGAAGTTTCATCCTGATACGAATAAGGATCCATCAGCCAAAGACAAATTTGGTGAAATCCAGTCGGCATACGAAGTTCTATCTGACCCCAAGAAAAGGGAACAATATGACCAGTTCGGCGCGGCTGGGTTTGACCCGGATGGTGCATCTCATCCAGGGGGTGGTAGTCCTTTTGGCCAAGGGAGCCCGTTTTCGGGCTTCGGAGCCGGAGGTGGCTTCGGGGCTGGCTTTGACTTTGAGGAGTTGTTCAATGCATTTGCCGGTGCTTCTGGGGGCAACCCGTTCGGCGGCAGTGCAGGTCATGGTCGTGGTTTTGCACATGAAACGCTGGTTGGAGAAAAGATTGAAGTGCAAACAAGCATATCGTTTATGGAGGCGGCTAAGGGCACAAGCAAAACCATCACAATACACCCTTTGGTTACATGCCGTACTTGTACCGGAAGCGGCTTAAAACCTGGAGCTCGACGAACCCAGTGCAAGTCGTGCGGCGGATCGGGTACGCAGGTGCATTTCATGCAAGGAGGTTTCCAGATGGGGTCGACCTGTTCTACTTGCGGAGGCACTGGCCAACGGACCTCTCGAGGGTCAGAGTGCAGGACTTGTCACGGAGATGGAGCAGTCAAGACTCAAAAAACGCTTACTGTCGATATTCCCGCAGGTATCGAGGATGGCATGAAACTTCGGTTGGATGGGGAAGGGGATGCACCAATCACTGGGGGTATGACTCCGCCTGGCGCTCGTACGGCAAGAGGCGATCTATATGTCGTGGTACGAGTGGCAGCAGATCCGAAATTCAAGCGTGCGGGCTCGGATATCCTGTACACTGCGAGTATTCCCGTAACTACTGCTATGTTGGGCGGAGAAGTCACAGTCCCTACGCTGGAGGGCGAAGTGAACGTCAAGGTTGCGACAGGCACGAATACAGGAGACAAGATTACTCTGGGTGGTATGGGGATGAAACAGCTGGGCTCACGCCGTGGAGCGACAGGTGACCTCCGGGTCGAGTTCCGCGTAACGACGCCCAAGTATCTTTCCGCGAGCCAGCGCACCATCATGGAGATGCTGGCTGATGAAATGGGTGATAAAACGGCCAAACGAATCATGAACGTCAAAATGCCCGAGTGAGTATCGCGACTTCGAATAGCCTGGGTAACCTACCTGGCGACTAATGAAGTTTCCAGCTCCAGAAGTACAGACTCATCGTCAAGACCTAGGGAGGCAACGAAAGATGATGACCCAGCCACACACAGGAGTGAAGGGTTTCTTAAATCAATGTGGCACAATCTGACCAACCATCCTGCTCATCGAAATTCATCAGAGGTATTCGGTGCGGAAGAAAAGAAGGCCCAAGACAACCAGTCTGAAACTAAGGCTGAGAAGACGAAGGGTCCCAAGGAAGAGTCGAGCGAGAATAAGCCTTAGATCACCTAGGGATGATCCAGCGTGTTGAACATTGAATGTATCATTTGCAGCACTGGACTGGTAGCCATTGTACAACCAATTTCTTAGTACTTTAGAATGGAGGCACAGTACAGACGGGCTAATGCATCGGGCGGTGTTGATGAGCGGACGCATGTACTTGGACTTTTCGATCTTTTCCTGGAGGAAATTAGACTTTCACGCCGCGGGGCTGTACCGCACTCTCATGACTGATGTTGGCGATGAGATCCTAGACGTAGGGGGGCTCTTTTTTGACGCCCCTCGCGTTCTAGCATTTGTATACTAATCAACAATGTACTCGATGCAGCATTTGGCAACCGCAGCCATCGCGGCACGTTGAAGGTCACTCTACTCATCAAAAAAAAATATGGCAATAAAATCTAATTAGTTTTGGTTAATTTGAAGATTCCAATCCACGTTGACCTCAAGAGTGCTAGTACATGGCCTTGAGTACCAGTTATGTCCTATTACGGTGTGCAATCTTGTTCTCGGTGAAGATACTGACACATGCTATACAGAAACTACCTAATAACTGTGTATCACGGCGGTGAGGATCGGGTAGTTATCTCGCAGTCATAGGTGGCCACAGAAACGACTGCTTATCAAACTGTAGGTAGTAAAGGAATAGTATAATATTGTTGGTATTATATCTATGATATATGTGTGCTCCCTGGCCTCAACTTTGCTAAGCGCTACTGTGCCTTAACTACCTAAGGTAGGCAGTTGAAGCCCTGTGGCTTGGCGTAGAGCTACAAGCCAATGGACGATCATTGAGACATTGTCTAATACTGATCACCTTGCATCTGAATGCCGCCCTCAGCCAATGAATGACAGGTTGATCTAAACGGTTCGATTATTGGCGTTGCTATCACGTCTATCTTGCAAGTGAATACCTCCATGTAGCCTTTAAAGTACTGATGCGGTTACTACTAGTAGCAGGTACTACTATAGGCGCATGAATGCATGTAATCAGCGCCTTCATTCTATGTACGTACCTACATATGTAGGTACGTAACCTACACTAACAGTACTAGGTAACTTCTTAGACATATCCATGATGCTGCCTTACATTATTTAGCAGGAGGTGGTAAAGCTATTGCAGGTAAGATGATCTGTGTATTGATGTTGTAGAGTGGTAGATGATACCTGGGTAACCACTACCTCAGGCGGGGTACCATATGGCCACCTTCCACAGAAGGCGCTTACATAGGTACAGTACACAGACATCCTATCTACATATATATCAACCAAGCTTGAAAGCCTTACCTATCATGTGCTACACTAAGTACCTACATATGTGCTTACTTGCTTAACCTACTATGAACATTCATTATAAACCTACTACCTGTACCTAGATATGGTTACATGTACGAGGTATGTACACAGGATTACCCGGCTCTCATCTGCGTTTCTACATGTATACACCTTGGGCATGTACTTACTGTAAGGGACACGAGGGGACAGAAAGGTACCTACCTACCTTACCTAGTAAGTAAGCTTGGTACCACGTACCGCCCCTAGGACCTGCTACACTACAAGCGGCGCCTAATTCCATTCACAACGGCGGCTACAGCATACCTAGGTAACCCAACTCCAATCCCAATACAACCTCCGTTGTACGGCCGTCGTTGTCCTGGCCTCTGCTGCCCGACCCTTGCCATTTGCCATCTGCCATCTGCCATCGCATCTCCCATCTCGTGATCATGCGCCCGACTGTCCCTTATACGACTCTGTAAATTCGCTACTTGGTACCTACCGGTACCGTACCTGCTGTTACCGCCCTGTGCGTCATTCATCATCTGACCTGGATGCTGATCGCCATCCTTCCACGCTCGTTCTCGGATGCCTAGCCTAACTCGTCCATCTCCTGCTCCACGTAACCCGCTTTTGCATGTCGCTCTGTGCATCTTGCGTTATCCAGTCAACTGTTCGGTGGGCAGTAAAATGACATACCACCAGTAAACCGTTTCTCGAATGTAGGAAGAAGCTTTGCGATTGCTTAAGTCTCGACTTTCGGAACCTTGTGGCAGCAACCTCATCTCCACTTCTGCGGCAGTCAAGCATTGTCCGGCATCGTCGCATCGTCACATAATCAATCACACCTCAGACCCCACCTCCATTTGCTTCGCCCTGGAGCTTCCTTCCTACAATCCGTGAAGTGTACACAAACCCCCATGAACCCCATGAGAAGATAGTCTGTGACCTCGATTGCGCGACTTCCACGAGCGAGAGCGCTCTCAATTCTCCTGTCTTGTGCTCTTGCCATCCAGGATCTGCCCATCATGACGCAAACACCGATGTTATCAGTGCCTCTTAAGGCCACCAGCGAGATTGACTGGATCACACCCCTCAAGAAATACATCCGAGACACATATGGAGATGACCCTGAACGTTACGCCGAAGAATGCGCTACTCTCAACCGGCTACGACAGGACATGAGGGGTGCTGGGAAAGACAGTACTGCCGGGAGGGATCTGTTGTACAGGTACTACGGCCAACTGGAGCTGCTAGACCTGCGCTTCCCCGTCGATGAGCACCATATCAAGATCTCCTTTACATGGTACGAGCACTTTCTCTTTGTGTCGTTGCGCGAAATTCTAACTTTGCTGCTTAGGTTTGACGCCTTTACTCATAAGTCAACCTCACAATACTCGTTAGCGTTTGAAAAGGCCTCCATCATATTCAACATCTCCGCCGTCTTGTCTTGCCATGCCGCCGTACAAGCCCGCTCCGAAGAGGCTGGCCTCAAGATGGCATATCACTCCTTCCAAGCTTCTGCTGGCATGTTCACCTACATAAACGAGAATTTCCTGCATGCGCCCTCTTCAGACCTGAGCAGGGATACTGTCAAGACTTTGATAGCGATCATGTTGGCACAGGCTCAGGAGGTTTTTTTGGAGAAGCAAGTTGCGGACCAAAAGAAAGTGGGCATGCTAGCAAAGCTGTCAAGCCAAGCTGCTTATTTATACCGAGAAGCGCTCGAAGGTGTTCAAGATAACGTGAATAACGCTATTTTTGAAAAAATCTGGCTTCTTTTCACCCAGGTAGGTTGCTATCGTATTTTTAATTTTCCAATTCCTTTTAAACAGTGAAAGAAAAATCTGTGGGAGAGATAAGGGGTAGATTTGTTGGCTCTAATTCGCATTGCAGATCAAAGCCAGCCTGATGAGCGCCAACGCACAGTATTATCAGGCTTTAGCAGACGAAGACGCGAACTCATACGGCGTTGCTGTTGCGAGATTAACGGCAGCTGAAGTACAAGCGAAAGAGGCCAACAAGTTGGCTAGCAGTTTTCCCAGCACACCATCACCCACTTCTAATCTCAGCTCAGATACGGGACCGATACTTGCTGATATTACGAAACGAAACTTGACAACGATACAAGAAAAGTTGAAATCCCTAATAAAGGATAACGACTATATCTATCATCAACCAGTGCCCACGGAGGCGAGCTTGGTCGTGGTACCAAAGTTACCAGCCGCAAAACCAATACCTGTGAATGAATTGTATGCTGGCCAAGACATACAGCGAATTACGGGCCCAGATCTATTTGCCAAAATTGTTCCTTTGGCTGTAACTGAATCCGCAAGCTTGTATGATGAGGAGAAGGCAAAACTTGTACGCGCGGAGACCGAGAGAGTAGATTCAGCCAATAGCGAAATGGCAGCAAGCTTAGACTATCTCAGGCTGCCCGGTGCTTTGCAAGTGCTGAAAGGCGGAATCGACCAAGATATACTGCCTGACGAAGACTTTAGGACTTGGTGTGACGACGTTGCAGGACATGAGAACCCAATATCGATATTCGACACTTTGGGCATAGACAAGGAGGCGATCATGACAGTCTTGGACCGGTGCTCCAAACAGTTGGACATGGAGGAGAGTGTTTGTGAGAAGATGAGATCAAAATATGAAGGGGAATGGACACAACAACCTAGCTCACGGCTCACAGCAACTTTGAGAGGGAATATACGGAATTATAAGGAGGCATTAGACGAAGCCGCGAGGAGTGACGGCCAACTATACGCGAAATTCAGACAGAATGAAACTGACATTGAGCAGATGCGACAAGCGGCCCAGCTCGGTGAGGTTGATGCCCTTTTCCAAAACGCAGTCCGCAAAATTAGAGTCAAATCAAGTAACGCCAACAGCCCGGCTACTGAGCAGCCCAATCTACTGGATGCCGACTTCGATGATAGTAGTTTAAGTGTTGCGCAACAAATCAGTCGAGTAGAGGATATCCTCAAAAAGCTGAATCTTGTTAAGAGAGAACGTAACCAAGTGCTGAAAGATCTCAAAGAAAAGGCAAGCTGTCCGAGCCTGCTCACATGCAAACTTTTCTAACTGCTGATGCCAGGTTCATAATGACGATATTTCTCAAATATTGATTTTGAATAAAAAAGCGATATCGACTTATGAAAGCGAGTTGTTCCAATCCGAGCTAGAGAAGTTTCGGCCACACCAAAATCGTCTTTTGCAAGCGAATCACAAGCAATCCGCGCTGATGAAAGAGTTGACCGCATCGTTTAACAGCCTTCTCCAGGATAAGCGTGTGCGTGCAGAGCAAAGCAAATATGAGTCTATCCAGAGGCAAAGAAACTCTGTAGTCAATAGATATAAAAGGGCATACCAAGAGTTTCTAGAACTTGAGTCCGGCTTACAAAGCGCGAAGAATTGGTACCGCGAGATGAAGGAAACTGTGGAGAGCCTCGAGAAGAACGTTGAGACATTCGTTAATAACAGGAGATCGGAAGGAGCCCAGTTACTCAACCAAATAGAGCAGGAAAAGGCCGCGAACAAAAGTTCACAAGCTGAGGTAGAGCGTGAAAGACTACGAGGACTGATGGAGCGTATGTCCGTCGACCCTAGTCACTCCTCCCCGTCGCCCAACCCGGCATCATCACGTCCAACACCCACGCCGCTCTCCTTCAACAGTACTCCCCGGTACCCCCAGACCAACTTTGCCGGCCACTACCAGGTTCCAAGCTCGCCTCCTCCAAATCAAGCCAACTACCCCAGCTTCTCTAATCCGCCACCGAACAGCACTTTTATATCCGGGTCCCAACAATCCTACACTCCAAACCCGCAACAAAGTAATCAACAATATGGACAAGCTACCTACAATCCTAGTAACTGGGGACGTAATCCTGGGCCGGTATCCCCTCCCGCAACGCAAACCAGCTTTGGACTCAGCGGTTCCAGTAGAGGACCAGCTTCGCCACCACCGAATCAGACATCATTCGCCTCCAACCAATATAGCACCTACGGAAATCCCCAAGGACAGCAGCCTCAGCAGTTCGTCCCCCATGGTTTTGTGCCGCCTCCACCTCCACCTGGCCCACCTCCCTTAGGACCACAACAGACTATCCACTACCCTCAACACCAACAAGAGTATCAGTATGGCGGGCCACAAAGTACCGGCGCAAATAATGCGGCTCCCAGACTCGCCCAGCAGCAGCAACAACAACAACAGCAGCAGCAGCAGCAAGCACACGATCCATGGGCTGGCCTTAATGCGTGGAGATAAGGGCAAGGTTTCTTCTTCCCAGAAGCGAGGACATGGTAAGGGTCGGCAGGGAAGAGTTAAAGTTAAAAGTATGAGGATTATCTTAGACAGGACGTCAAAAGGAGCATCTACTATCTGATCCAAGCTATGGTCTTGATAAAGATTTTGGCGTCGTTTGATTTTTGAGGCGATCGATGAAGAGGTATTAAACCGCTGTTACAATTAAAGTTATCAAACTCTCGGGGCGTAGGGCTCCGTCCGTCTTATATAACTAAAGCTTCTACCCCTCACATCATTGGCAAAAGAGCTCAGGTGCTTGTAAATATGGCGTGCACTTGTATGCTAGTGGTTGTAGCTTAGTCTTGGGCAAATATGATTTGTCTCGCGCTCCAGAGGAGAACAGCTCAAACAATATGATCATCTTGATCTCATGTTATTTGGCCCTTGATACATATTAGGGTGCGGGGTTAAGTACCGGCCGACTCGAACTATTTGCAAATAATGTCATATCTTTTAAACTATAATTCTAAGTTCCTACCTTTGCTATTGTGTACTTCATTTATATGGGCCGACACTCATCCTATATAAATTACCTGAAGACAAACAAAATGGGAGAACAAGAGATCGGTCGGTTACAGAGCTGATTTGCATGTCTGTCAATCTTCACTAGCTACTTACAGAGTGCGCAACACGGATGCTACTTGATTAGTTGATAACATGGCATGTTTCACCAGCCATACAGCCAATTCGACGATATTGCTTGTACAGGAATAGCCGCGACCCAACCGTGACGAAGCTAGGTGGGTCAAGGCGTTGGACCGTGGATGTTGTGCATACAAATTCGGCATGCTGCATCACGGAGGCGGTAAGGGACGACTACCGTCACCTAGATGGCGGGAGGGGAAGGCCGCATCCTCCAAGAGAGTAAGGTGTGACGGACGAGTGGCGGATGGGGAGCGTGGTAGTAGGTAAGTTCAGGGAATGGCACGAGACGGCGTTGCATGCGAAGGCATACACACATAGGTAGTCAGGGAGGGGCGGGCATATGACCGAAGAGGAGCAAGAGAGGACTGGCGGGCTGAGGACTGAGGACTGAGGTGAGACAGTCCCATGTTTGCCGCTGCTAGCAAGGTGTGGAAAGAGAGAAGAAAGAGAATTAATTGAACGCATGACAAGGCCCGTAATCAGACTGGCTTGTCCTATGTCTCCTCGTCGCGGAGGGAGAGGGGCCAAAAAGACAATAGACAATGCCTACTCAAGTAAAGAGAATAAAATAAAATAATTGAAATGGAATAAGACACGAAGCTGATGGGTTCGAGTTGATGTAATGCCGTGTGGCTAATGATAAGGTGCGTCGTTTATGCAATGCAAGACAGGTGGCATGAGGTTTTGCCACGTCCAGTCAGTAAGGTCTGGAGATGAATGGGTCGTCCAACAGACCCAGAACCACGCGACACGCGGGTTGTTAACTCGATAGGTACAATCAAGTAAGGATAGCCTGTATCTATGTAGAGCGCCCCGATGAGCTGTCAGTTTAAGACCGCCAAGGCATCGCAGAGTCGACCTACGAAGTAGGTAGGTAACATGAGTCTGTCTGACATCCATGATGAGATACCGGTAGATACATGTATGTACCTAGTAACGTGTACCGAGTGAGGGGGATTGGTGGGGTGGCGGGGTGTGGCGGGGTCACTGAGAATGGCGGCCACTTCACTCTACGAAGTACATTCTAGGTTACATGATGTACCTGTAATCATACCCTTTGCAGATTCTATTTTTCATGTGCCTCTCTTTTCATATATTGCGTTACTACAATACCTGACCTATACTTATGTATTTACCTACATAGGTAGTTAGTTATACTGTACCGCATCAGTTAAAGCGTGGCTCACGTCAACCTTCAGACTTGGTAGTACATTTAGTACGGCCAAGTCATCAATTAGCTTGACACCTACTTCGTACTTAGTATTTTTCTCGCTTTTGCAAGTCTGCTCGCTACCTACCTTAAGCGCTTACCTTGTACTTATAATTATTCCATAATTTACGTCTACTTTGATTGCTTAGTATTGTGAGTTAGCAGACCGATCATCGGTGTTGGTTCACTTGCCATATGACGGATTGATTGACTAAATTTGATGGATTCATTGATCGTCTACAACACCTACCCTACCTACCCCCTTGTAGTATTTACACGCTTCCTTGCAAAAACACGGGCAGGGATCATCGATTGATGATAAACGAGTTACCCATTTCACCACGAGGTAGTCATAGTCTATTCTTACTCAAAAGCTCGGCAATCTTTGATACCGCCATCGCACTGACGAAGCTAGTTGCCCGCCGGTCGTCTCTCGTTCTTGTCCTGATTCCTCTTCTTCCTCTCTCCCCCTCGCTCTCTCTCGCTCTCCCCCCGTCTGTCTATCAATCGCCGCCCGCTGCATCCCGTTTGGAATGTCGTCATCATCCGCCATCTCATTGTACACCTAACCTAAGCGCTGGCACCATTGAGGTCCATCCGCACCAGCTGTATGTTGTCGTACTGCCTCTCCGGGTCTGATTGGTTGATTGTTGCATTCCTCCCCAAAGCGACAAGCGGATCTCGCACGGTTACTTTCCTCAATTGAACTCGAAGGTTTCGGATCACCTGCCCACAGTTGCAATGTCTAGCCCGCCTGGCGACGCTGTTGTAAATGGCGACGCGCCAAAACCAGATTTCGTGCCGCTGGTAGCTGTGGTCGACTTCCACCACCATAGGGGACCCGAGGTGGAAAGGTGGTTTGGGGTGCCTGATGGGAGAGATCCTGCCGCGGAATGGGACTGGACGCTATTGCCCTTCATGGCCCTAAGTGATGGTGCTCATGCGTGAGTATTTCACTCCGAGGTCCTAAACGCGTGACGAGCAAGGGGCTGACCCTATCCCAAAAATCTGCTTTAGTTCCACCGAAGACTTTTCCTACTTCACTCTCGTCCGACCTGCCACCGAAGACTCGCCCGCGACTTCGCTGTTCGGTATCTCGTGTACTAGACAGATGGACGCCGCCCAACTGCTCGTCCGCCCTCCCGATGTTACGCGATCCACTGTTCAGAAAGCTGTGGTTGTCATAGAGAATACTCCACAATTCTTCGGTATGCTAAGGGAGCGCTTGTCTGTCGTCACGAGCGCCTGGTTTGCGCAACGCGAATTCACCGATACCGAGATCCTCCGAAGGTTTCAAGATAGCCTGGCTGACGAAAAGGAACGGGGTCAGTTATCTGAGGAGGTTGACCGAGACCAATACCTTGGCATGAGTCTCCGAGAGCTCGTGAGAGAGTTTCGGTGGCAGACTCTGGTTTTATTGAAATGCTGCCTTTTACAACCTAAAGTAGGTGATGAACATAACGAAGAACCAAGTGTTGCTGAGAGCACTAATTCTTCCAGATGCTATTTTTCGGCTCACGTTGTGAACGCCTTTGCATGATGCAGTTTTCCCTAATCTCTTTGATACCAGGCTTATTGAGGAACTTGCAAGATTGCGCTGGGCCAGACATGAATAGTTATGAAAAGCGGTTATCTCAACCAACGAGCTTACGAACTAGTGACCGAAACTCGTTGCTTGCATATATGGGACTGCCCTTACAGATATTTGGCAAGGTAAAACGAACGCCAAAGCAACAAGAAAGTTCATTTCCACGTGTGTCAGAGATGCTGATTCAGATCCTAGGGAAGTCTGTTCGGACCCTACACCCCGCTTCAGCAGCTTGATCTTCTTGCCGATTTTGGTACGAAGTCATATATAGTTGGCAGTACAAACTCGTTGCTACTACAACAAAAAGACAGATACAGCGATATTTTGATCAACCTTGACGAAGACACTATCAGCATAACGTCCCCGTCTTTACGCAACGCACTTGCACTCTCTCATTCAGATAGGCGTTGGATTGACTTCATTACCCAAGAAGTGAACGATACTTGGGACGAAGCGAATCCGCAGCGGCCAAAAACGATGGGCTATCGTGGAAGTGAAGAGTTTATTCGACTCCAGTTCGAAGAATACCTGTTATCTCTGATCTCTGCTGTCAAGTACCGGAATTACCTCGCTCAGAATACCGGCAATCCGAAAGCCACGCTTTCGCATATCGAAGGGGATCCATCGACTGACTTTGGCAATGAGTGGATTGAGTATTGGGTGAGGACTGAAAATTACCGGCTCTGGAATGCAAATACAGACTCGCATCTATTTGACATTGTCGAACCGAGGCATCCATGTGCCGGAGGACTGAGTATTGATGATGTGCAACGCCGAATACAACAACAAGTGCAAGATTTACATCTAGACGAGAGGTTTGCTGTGGGGAAAGAGGTTTTGGGTAGGAATTTGGCAGCTGGACGTGAAAAAGCAAGCGTTCGTAAGTGATTCATCGAAGTCTCTGCTTGGTGCAGCATCTTCGAAGTGCACATGCCCTCTTTCTCGGGCCATAATATTCCGCTCAAATGGGTGATAACTAATTATAAATACTACAGTATTCAACAAATTCTATGCGGATATGGAAGCTTTACGAGAAGCTCAGAAAAAGCGCGCCGAAGAGAGCAAAGCTGAGCAGTCGGATGCAGAGAAGAATGGAAATAGTTCGGATATATCCAAGACACAGCAAACGGTAACATCTGTTGGGGCTAGGGCCGGCGCTTATATTGGGAGCTGGACAACATGGGCGGGACAGAAGCGAAAAGAAGGCTGGGGCCGGTCTACCAACAGTAACGGCAGTTCAGGCGGCGGTTGGGGCTTTGGCAGTGCGCGCAAACCACGAAACGCAACATCCAACACACTTAGTGATACTGGCAGCGAGAAAAACGGCACGCCTCTAAGTAGTCCCACGTCGTCTACTATTGGTTTTGCAAACTTTGAGAAAGCAGTGAAAGGTAGCAAACCTCAAAGAGCAAGTGAGGGCGATGATGGAAGTAGACCCCTTAGCCAGGATAGCTTTGGCGATAGCGTGCTCGATAGTGTCGCACCCGGGTCAGAGAGCGAGCCATCTGCCCCTACAAGCCCACATAAGATCACGACAGCGAAACGAGATAGTACAGAAGGGCTCAAAACTCACGATGATAAAACGGCATAGACCGAAATCACATTAATAGTCGAAGAAAACCAAGGCTGGACCACCACTATCCAGTGATGAGACATGAATAATGGTATACGAGTAGACGAGCTAAAATAAACAGGCATCGGTTTTCTAACGGGCAGCTTAAACCAGGGACACGGACTGCAAGGATAAGAGAAGGCTATTATTGCTATTGGAACCATCCATCCAATCTTTCATTCATCTATGTCCACCGATACAGGGGTTTTCATTGTTTGTGCACTATGGTCGACCGCAAGCCAGATCCTTCCATCAGTCGCGCGAATCAGCCAGGCGCCGCCACACAAACTCTTCTCCAAGACGTCGGTGGAAGACGGAAGACGTGAGGCGTACGTACCCTAGATTCAATGTGCGCTTTGCGCCCATCCTCCCAACAGAATCAGTCCTCCGTTGGTATATAAAAGACATGTAGCCGCTGGTCGTGTCGACTAGCTAGGCTTTATTCACAAATATATATTGAATACCAATCCCGACTTTGCGGCTTCGAAATCCGCGAATTTGTCGATCATGATTTATTATTTTTTTCCCTCGTATTTTCATGGACTCGTTTCTAGATCAAAAAAGGCCCATCCTTACAGCCACCCCAGGTTGACTTCAATGAAGTTGATGTGTGTGTCAATTTGCTATCTGGTGGTTCATAGGTAGCTCTGGCCAGGCTGAGGAGGTTCTAGGATTAGACAATGCAGCAGTTTTCAATGCACAGATGGTTTTGCGGACATAGGTCATGGTCATATAACCCGTCAAAGACCGATGGTCAAGAAATTTCATATCAAGTGGAACACCACACATATACATGTTGGATTTGGATGGGTTGATTTCGTCTATAGAGAACTTCACCTTGGTCACTGAGGCGTACATACAAGCTTTCACCCTACTCCATCTCACTAGAGCATATCAGGTGCATAAGAACCAAAAGGGCTCTGGCAGCTGGTCCTTCAGATTTAAGCCAAATCTCCATGAGTCGGCGCGCCTGTCGCCTGTATGTAAAATATGCATTCATCATTGCCTGAGAGAGGCTGGCTAGAGTAGCGTAGCCAATAAATATGCTTCATCTTCCCCCGCCGTTATCGCGGTTCTAATTCCACTTTCTACCACCAGGCAACTATTGCCGGTCTCTTGACGTCAGATAAGACCGGATTTTCCCGCAATCTCTCTGCATTAGCATTTATGTGATACATGGTAAACGTAGCAGTGAAGGTGAACTACTGGAACAGGGACTGAGGTAACGTAGTTGTAGTCGGCGACGCCGCAAAGGGGCAGCCATCTGATTTCTGAACCTACTTAGGCCCTCGACCATAGATTCATCAATCTGACTGATGCGGAGAGAAGAGCGATATGGCCCGGAAATGGTTTCTGCATGCGTGACTCCAGGTCTAAGAGTATTGTCGAATCTACCATCTTAAGCAAGGTAACCAAGTTCATCATCATCCAAACGCTCGAGGTACTCTTTGTCAAGAAGGATCTCTATGTTCTTCTTTATGTCTCCAATCTTTGGGACAAATCGCGACCTAATTTGGCTGATGCATTCACTGACAAGGACAGAATGCTTCATCTTCTTCCTGGCTTTCATGATTCTCACCATGGCAGACTATGCCTCAAGTTAGCAAATATACGCAACTAGAGGTCCGCGGAACATGGCCTCTGATTATAGTATCGCTTACCTGTAATACCAGTTGACGGTCCTCTTCAATGGTCTTGTTCGTATCGACCTCCTCCTGTTTGGACTCGGTCTTGGTACTTATATTGAGATTGACACGGATCTTCTTGCTCTTGAAGTCATAATTTAGATGAAATGTTTTCCCAGGGCCAGGTTTGTCGCCATCTGGTTTCATGAGGAGTATTTTTGCTTTTAGTAAAATTCCCATGGCGGCATCATGTACTTCAGGGGTCAATTGCGTCGCAGACAAGATGTCTTCGTAAGTTTGGACATCTTTGTCGTTGAATAGCAACAAGATTGCCATCTGGTATACACTGACTTGTAATGTATAGGGTGTTTTAGAACTCTTGCAGTATCCGGTTTTGACCTCGCCCTTGCAGAGCTGCCAAAGCCATGTAAGCTTACGTCCCTCATGTTTGTTTTTGTAGAAAAGGGAGAAGCGATCGAGATCCGTCTGGATTTCTGCTGGAGGGTTGAACGTTGTATGCGGGGCCGTCAAAGGCCAAAAGCTAGTTCCTAAAATTGAATACGATGAATCAAGGGCGGGTTTGTCCAGCTGTAGACCTTTAGTATGTTCCCGGAATCCTGTATTGAGGTCCTTCGATATCTGCATATCTTGAAACATGCGTTGAAGTTTGTTGGTGTACTCGAAGCCACAGGCTTCCTTCAATTTGCTGATCATACTGGTCTCGGCATCGTCCGAGGATGAGTTGCTGTGGACAAGGCGCCTCGCTAGCATACGCGAATAGAATTTCTGGAAGACGTCTTTGTCTTCGATGTACTTGAACACCGTCATTATCTGTGTTAATGTAGCATCGAGTTCAGCTTCTTCCACACCTGTCCCGCTTTTGCGTAACAAGACATCCGTGTACTTAGCCAGTAATTCAGGAGACCGGCTAGATCCCGCCTTGCAGATTTCATTTCTGTTGACAAACTCTCGACAAGCGTTGTCTAGTGACCTAGTAAATTCGGGTTCGTCGGTAAAAGCTCGTTTTACTAGTGTCTGGTACTGTGTATGTGTTTCGAGCAGAGCTTCGACGTAGACCTTCGGTTCAAGTTTCTCGGCATCAGAGGCAACTTTCGCAACAGCCGCCAAACCAGCATTTCTGACATGAGCCTCGAACTTCTGGCGCAGCGGATCTAGTCCTTCCGGAATACGCGATAGTAGCTTGTACATTCGTGCCATATCCTCTTCACGGTTGTTGTCCAGTAATACCTGGAACTCGTCTCGCAGTAACGCTGAATGGTCGGCAATTAGAGCCTCATTACAAGTTTTACGTAGCGTGGAGGCAATATCGTTGTGCAGATACATGCGGACTCTTTCTTCTTCCTCGTCCAATCGCGCCTCGGCCTTTTTCATGTATTCCACAACGCTATTCTCGGACACGAATTGCTTAGACTCTGCTTGGTAGAAAGCTTTAGTGGCAGCAAGGAACGGTCTCTCAAAGTGTGATCTGTAGATGTCGAGTGTGGACTTAGATGTATCCTGCTCATCAAGTCCGAGAGAGACAAAAGAATCTACCACCTGTTTGATCTGTCCATGCTCAATGGTTTCTCCATTCCGTTGTTTCTCGACCAGCTTCAGAACTGCGCTCATGACCTTTTCATGCACTAGGGTGAAGAATTCAATACGCCATTGGCAGAGATGCAAGGTATAGACATCGTATGTGTTTTTTTTGCCTTCATCCATTTCACGTTTGACCCAGTGCCTGTTGAGGTACCGGAACAAATGATGGATGTATTTAGCGGCAATTGTGTATCGATCCCACTCTCGTATATAGAACGCAAGCAAGGCTTCGTCAGTATGCGCCTTGGACTCCTGGAATAATACAGAAAGATGCTTGTCGAGGTAGTCCTTGAGCTTTTTGTATAGATCCTCGCCAAGAAGATGAGCTATTACCATGTCAATTTAGAGGCTATGTAGAATGCCTACTCAGCCATGTCATGTCTTACCTCCTCTATGAGCCTGCCCAACGCCTGGTGCGCTGGTAGTGTTAGTAGCTTTCTGTGACGTGCAAAAGTTGTGGACAGCCCTGGGAAGAATTAGCGCTATGTGGCTTAATTGACAACAAGAGAGCGTACGTGTAGATGCCCATATACTAGAAAAGCAGTTAGTAAATTATCTAGGAGAGGATTAAACAAACATACTGTCGTCATGTCCATGCCATCTTGGAGACTGGTCATAATCTTTGTTATGCCGATCTGAAGATAGTTCCATCTGGGTTTATTAGCCGGGTTACAGCCAGTTCGACGAGGGGAAAGCGGCAGGCATACGTAGCTTCGATGTCCTCCCTGTTCGGCTGCGGAGGCATCTGTATGGCTCGGGATAGGACGGCGCTGGCCATGGTGAGACCACGCTCAACGTGATAGCTCCAGAGATCGTGGTGATAGTGGTTTGGGGGTTGTCCTTGATGAGTCATCTCCATGTTAGTGAACTCCGTGGATGGATCCATTTTCTCCCCCTCTAAACGGTCAAGAACTATAGCATTAAGAAGAAATCAAGGAGAGACTGGGCTGAAGGATACAATATCGCACCACACCAGGTTGGTACTTGGGTATGTGGTGTTACAGAGCAGCTGGGGAATGAAGGATAAGGGCGAGGCAGCAGTAAGATGGCATAATCAGTCGACAGAAGAGAATTGGCAGCAGTGATGCGAAGGAAGGTGCAGCGAGCGGGCTTTCGAGACTAAATGAAGGCGTATGGTATAGGTGGAAGGGTGAGGGGGGCGGTAGGTCTCTTTATTAAAGAAGCCATGGGTTCATAAGACAGGCAATAGCGTAGGTATAGGAGCAACGATGCAACTCGAGCGAGGAATCAAGGCTTTAATTTCTAACCTTTACGGGTCGCACGGGTGCGAAGGCGGATGCGGATGCGAGGAAGGTGTCGTGTGTCGTGTGTTGTCTGCCGTGTGTGTACCGCAGTTCGAGAGCCGCAATCGCCAGGCGAGGAGGAGCAGCAGCAAACTCAGTAGCTGGCCAATAGCCACTGCAAACACGTAGCACGCCGGCCGTCGTCGTCGCTATTCGTCGATGGCTTCTTAGGATCCGAGGTAAAGGACGAGTAAGAGGAGATGTTGGTCAAGGAGAAGGACCAGGCGCACCCTCGAGACTAAGGAAAAAAAAAGAAAAAAAAAAAAAAAGGTCGCGGCGGGCTGAAGAGAGGCGTAGGTAAATAGATAAATAGGTAAAATACCTACCTACTCCGTAGACAATGTACGAAGTACGAAGTATGATGGAGGTATGGAAGTGGTAGGCAGACAGGTCAGGTAGGCCGGCCGGGTACCTGATCAGGTTGGATAGGGTCGGGCGGTTTGCTCGTCCCAGGCACTGCCAGGCAGCTTATTGTTGGAACTACCTAGGGAGTTTGGCTAGGTAGGGAGCAAACTACAGTAAGCGTAGGTATCTCTATGTACCTCCATGATGCAGGTATCTGCTGTACTGGAGCCTGTAGGTGGGGATATGTCTTACTATAAAATTGTCCCAGCACCTAGGTACCTAGAGGTACCTACCAAAGCCTCCCTGTAACGCTCCATTGCCCCTCAATGAACAATGAACAATGAACGTGTTCTACCTACAGCCTCTGTACAGCCCCACGATTCAAGGGATCAGATTGGCCATTTCCTCATATTCATCAGTATAAATGACTACTATCTAGGTTGGTACTTAAGTGAATAATCCAAGGTTATGATATTGCTCCCAACCAATGCCGCAGACCTGCTACCTTATTTCATCGTTCATCCATTGCTCTAGATAGTACGCAATACGTCATATCCTACCTAAGTGCATAGGTAGGAGGAGATTCATGACCAAACAGAAGAAGCTTTTACACTAGGCAGAAGCCGTTTTTCCTTTGACAAGACGGCCGTCACTTGACAGCCATGTCTAATTATGCATCCTGCATGTCTGGTCCTCAATCGCATATAAATCAGACCCGCAACTTTAAACGAGTTGCTACCTGCCTACATACGTAACGTAGTAGGTACATAGTGGATGACGACCTGGTCAGGTAAACACATAAAATCAACTACATATGTGCATATTCGTGATCCCGCTCCATCATGTCACATTGCTTCTAAATTGCAGCATTGGGATCGCAAGATTCAACAGTTCTACGCATGTAGGGACCAGATTGCTAACTCTACTCATAGCCGAAACGCTGACGTGTCATGGGTGACTGCTATGTCTCATTCAGAATGCTACTTGTCATTCTCTATACCGCCTAGCTTTTCTGCTAGTCTAAAGACACTGATAGTGAAGTTTAGAATCCAAGCGATCAACCCAACCAAGGTCAATGCTGCCAATCCTCTGGCAAAATCCAACGACTGCAATGCTTCCGCACCGGCCCTAGGACTTTGCGCCATCCGTTCTCCGCTATGATACACAAGGGCTTCAAACGCCAATGCCGTGCTTGCAGATTTCAAGACTATAAAAATCAAATCAAGAAGGGTGAGCGAAACTTTCTGGGCGGGGTTCCGCAGACCCAAAGGTTTGCCCGTGTATTCGTCCCATGTCATGTATAATATGTACGGAATCGCCACTGAGTCGATAACTATAGCAACGATTGCCTGTGACGTCTCGGTTTGACTACTGTTGGTGGCAATATCAGGCGCCCTTTCCCGTCTATAGATGACCGTTGCCAGCGCTAGAGCCGAAATAGTAGAGATGAGAACAATGAGGCGAAAGATGAGGGGGGCAATAGGATGTCTCAGGACGAAATTTCCAAGTCGCATAAACCGCGACCTATCCTTTGCGTCTAGCGGATACAATGGCGTCCGCACCGGGTCATTAAGCCCAGGCATCAATTGGTCCAGGGCATCCCGGGTAACCACCTCGTATCGATCATGGCTGTCGTGGCCGTACGATGAAGAGTGAATGAAATCGCGCCATCTATCGTAGGGGTCTTCGTCGGGCGCTCGATACCCAAGTCCCATAATAACAGGTTCAGCACTTCGCAAATGATCCCATCGCCGTCCAGGTCGGTCGGCACGCTTTCTCAAGAACACCGGGAGCTTTGATACTCGACCATGTTTCTCATCAACCCAATCGACGTAGCCATCTTTTGAGACCCGACGCTTCAGTGCGTGGTTGCTTTTGTTCTGATCTGGGCGAACGGTCGGCGGGGGGGGATGGACGGGGCCGCGGTGCTGTGGGCACGGGCCATGAACCTCTTCGTCGTATAATTCCACCCAAGCAGGGACGGTTTCTCTCAACGGGTTCGTGGCCATTACCGGAATCGCAGCGCGCTCATGAGGCAGAGAGAGAGAGAGAGAGAGAGAGGAATAAGGAGAAGGAGAACTGAAAGTTGAAGTATATCAAGCTGTGAGTGCAGATAATGTGTGGCCTGCAGTCATGATTATGTCGTCAGGCGTAAAAGGTGACTTAAAGGAGCGGGGAATACATTAAAATGGGCATGCTCAAGAGCACCCAACTGAAATATCAGCCACAGCATGCAAGGAGCATCGAGCCCAAATAACCAACGGCCTCGGCGGGGTTTACGTGCTCCGTAGTCCTTGGGATATGTAGGGAGAGACCAGGGAGACCCGAGACACGGGCGACACAATCACAGCTGTCGGCGGCTCGATAGGTTTGCCGTGAAGAGCCCAGTCCGGAACAGCGCGCAATCGAAATGTCGAGTAAACAACGGATGGGGAACGGGACAGCCAAACGCCTGGGGGCGACTGAAGAGTGAGCCTGCAAATAAGATAATAGGTAGACCGTAAGTGGGTATTACAAAGAAGAAATATAACGGGTTAAAGACGGCGTTGGAGATGGATGAGGCTCATCGACTTGCGCAATGACCTGTGCGGACAGGCGAGATGTGAGAAGAGATGAACAGGGAACAGCAAGTTTGACGTTGCGAGGGTGCCGCGCGCAGTCTCGTGTGGTTGGTTGTTGGGTACCAGTAGGTCGCTACGTAGCGCTAACTAGGTATGTACTTAGGTACTTACCAAGGCACCTAAGTATAGTACAAGATCGACCCAGGTATGCATGCCAGATACCGCAGATACCGCAGATACCGACAGAGCTCCATATGGAATCCAAGTCACGAGAGTGCTTTTCTCCTTGTATATTCCCCGACTAGAAAAACTACCTATGCTTCTAATCTTCATGTGTGGAGGAGGATGGTGATATTATTGGAAATAATTAGTTTATCTGCCTTCACCTACATAGTACATGTGAATGAAGTTGTATCCTGTTCTTAGGTACATACTTAGGAACTAGGTACCTATAGGCAGGTAGGTACCATGGATACAGTAGGTATATGTATGTATGCCCTATGTACCTACCCTCTACAGCATGTATAAGTACATAACATATGTAGGTAAGTGTCGACTATCTAGTGTCGAGGGCTGATGTCACCAACGAAGCACCCCTTGTAATGCTAAGAATACCCAAAAACCAGAATTGACATCCTCTAGCAGCTAGCGGCCGCCCACTGCCAGCTCTCGATGATAGACATCAGATAGACCCATTTGCATTCGAATCCGAACGTCATGAGCTTAACGAGTCGCAAAAAAGTTCTTCAGACCACCGCCCGCCCAATGTCATAACACTCGTCCTGCTGCGCACATTGCCATTTATATTATATTGGTATGTGTTCTACGACAGCCCCCTTTAGCCTCTTCGCTAACCCTCCGTCCTCCTGCTTCAGCCGCCCATCTTCTCCCGGTCCTCCACAACTGCGCCCCAAAAATGCGATTATTCCTCCTTCCCATATCGACTCGACGGACGCTTCTATACTGCCAGAAGCTGCAGGCTTTGCCATCTGAAAAGCGGCCCTTAGTCGACAAGATCACACTACGCGCTGCGAAGCTCTGGGCTGGTTGGGAGAAGAAAGACGGTGGCTGGCAGAAAGCCGTCGTCAAGTACGGCAATAGAGCCCTCCGCAGAGTACCCTACGAAGAGTGGGGACTGAAGTCTGTCCCTACGCTTTCTGCGCGGCGGAGGGAAGAGGAGGTGTTAGGCAAAGAAAAGCATCATCTCATTTTCCCAGAGACTGTGATTCCCGCGGACAGAGCGCCCCAGGTTCTGCGAACCCTCGCAACCGAAAGAGAAAGCTTGCATCGGTCCCGCATACTATGGTGTCTGGTCGGGATGCCAATAACTGCGCCGTTCGCGCTTATTCCTATGTTCGTGCCCAACAGCCCGTTTGAATATGTTGTTTCTCTAATGGCTTGTGTCTAGAATTCCTAACCTGCCTTTCTTCTATTTGGTTTATCGGGCATGGTCTCATTACCGGGCTATTGCAGGTGGGAAACATCTTCAATGGCTTCTTACCAAGGGGTTCTTTACCACGTCGCCTTCACAAATTTTAGATGAAATTTACTCTCAGCAACACAGGTCAACGGATCTTTTAGAAGAGCCAAACGGCTCAGGCTCGCAGTCCAGTGATAGTAGACTACAATCACAAGAAAGATTACTGTTGTCACAAGAGAGAGGCCGTACGCTCGCACAAGCCCTCAAAATACCCGAATTAGGAGTTGAGCTTGAGCGAGCCATATGGCAAGTTGAGACTGCGATACGAAAGCAAGAGCAACAAGGTGAGAAGACAAAGTACTCTTCTACAGAAAAGCAGGACGGGCCTTAAAGGGAATAAGTTTGGACTTTTTGGAACTTGCGAACTTCAGCTCTCGAAACATCCCTGGACCACATATGATGTTTATCGCATCCGCCTGTCCGATGAGAAGATCACACCCAATTTCACGTCACTTCCTTTGAGCCCAAAATAGGCATACAGTATCTAGGGACACCAGCCGCCTAGCCATGGCCTAAGACATATATTGGCAATGGATAAGGCGAGCTATTGTATATCAATGTACCGAGCTACTCTACGAGCGAGGGGCATGATTCACCATCCACGTACAACCAAGTACTCACTCAAATTATCCTGAATGTCCAAACGGAAATCATGGGGCTCTCAACCTATGGCGCCGAACATCCAGTTCTTTGATCACCTCACCGTTTATGCGAAGTATTAGTTGTGCCTAAGCATAACTGTCTCGAAAGGCTACCTACTCCCCTATTCTGGAATGTAAGCGTCAAGAGCACCCAAGGGAAAGTGATATTATATAAATCGTTACGCGATGATCCCAAGTGATTGCAGCCGACATAACACGCCTTCTCTGGTAAAGATCCTATAGACACCAGAGATAGCTTGCGCAACACAGTACATCGAACTAACTGCACAGGGTTGCTTTTTGATGCGAAAGAATTCATCTCAAAGTGCTGATTGTGTTCAGTAGTCCCGGTACAATGTATTAGACCACAGCCGTAACTGAAATGAGTAGCTCAGCAATGGATAGCAAAGTACCAGGGTCTAAGGATAGGCGATCCATGATGCAATTTAAAAAGTGAGATACCAGCCAGTCGGTTCACTTCATTGTGGATTTATTCGGCCTTCACTCTCATGTATTCACATACTTAGCAAGCAAGAGTAAAAGCAAATTCATATACCGAGCACCACGTGTAACGGACATTGCAATCTACCATTCTTCATGCATTGTTCTCTAAGGTGGGAGGAAACCCTAGTTTGTGCAACTTCCCTATGCTTCAAGGCTGCGTCATTGCCTAATAATTTGAATAGTTCCGTTCAGAATCGCGGTATTTGCTCTAGAATCTGATCCGTTTGTCGATCAAGTAGCCAAAACCTGTTGGAAATCTCTTGCTACAACAAATACGAACCAACCGTCTCAAGGGATTCGTTAGCAAGATGGCTCGCCACTTCCATAGATTCCCTGCACCAACTGTGCGCTTCTCTTGCCCTAGCGGTTCTCCCCTAGATGCACATCCACTAAGCTCTATGGTGACAAATGAAAGCGAGTATAACAATGGCAGAGACCTTGGCTTGGAACTCGATGCTATTCACAATATGATGATCAACTAGGGCTGCATGAGTCCTTGACCAACCAATTCCTTCTCGACTCTATATACAACTGGTCTGCCAGCCCTGACCGCCTAGGTCCCATTGGCTTGTTTCATGAACCGAAGTCTGTATAACTTCACTGTCCAATATTGCCTGCATGTCTTTAAAGATCATGAACAGCCTGTAATGGCCTTCCGTACAGCCGAAGCGCAAAGCAAACTGCATGTTCAGCTTGTACGCGTGTAACATTAGATGCCTTCCTAATTTCTAAGATCCATCAGTATACCTCGTATAGCGAAGACTAGACAGCATCACTTCCTAATACGAGCTATAGTCCTGCTAGAGAGGCTTATGTAAGTTATACGGCCTAAATCCGCAATCATCGACACGTGTGGCAGTAGACAACAAAGCCCCAAACCAGTAGTGATTCCCAATGGTTTGTGCAATGTCTCAGTGTGAGCTACTAATCTTGAGAAGAGATGTTCACAGGCAAAGAATACATAAACTAAAGTAGAACGCCTTACTCCGTTTCTACATTACGAGGAAATTGTCAGAAGATAACCCAAACTTATATAGCAAGTTCGCCATCACCAGTGACATGATCACCTCCAAATAGCAGAAACGTACTCTTTGACACCCAATAATCATTTGATCATTTGGTCATTCGATATCATGCGTTGCCTCAACTGTTTTGCATTGGACGGTGGCTGGTCGATCACTCATCTAAAACCCCAGGTACTGCCTTTGTGGGTTGCCTGCGGTCACGTATTAATAGCTTCAAAAAATGTCGGAAATTTTGGCAGATCTTTCTCATTATGGCCCAAGTATCTATCAAGAAAAGCCTCACTGTTCATCTCTCTGTCCAAGAAACGGAAAGGAGAGTCACTTGGATGGGCTGCCGACTTCAACCCTCACATTGAGGATTGACTAAGCGCTTGGGGTACTATTGAATGAAGGTGAATAACCTGTTAGCATGAGCACATTGTAGGTTTTGAAGGTTGCAAAGGGTATGCCCCTCATGAAGCATCGAAACTCTCAATGAGGGGTGGCATGTCCCTTGTTTGATCGACCATGGCACGGGCGGGCCATACGGATTTTCTCATCATGTTTCAAGTCCTACTGTCCAACTCTGTTCCTATCAAGAGATGGCCGAGTATGAAGTATTTTTGGTGTGGGTATAGGAAGAGGTGTATTTTGGGGTGATTTGGGATCTATACAGAGCTTTACAATTTGCCGAATTTCCGTCGAACGATGTGTTCCTCTATGCTCGTAGAAGCAGGGGGACGCAAGAACTCCCGGGCACATCAGGAGTCTTGGCATCACCATGTAAGAAACATTATCTCGTTTTTGAGTCTACTATGAGGGTCAATCCGCCACCACTTGGTGACCGCCAAGTCTGCTTAAGGAGGCACTCCCCTAGCAACCATTCAGTTTCACGGCTGTCGATTGAGGCGGTTCCGTATCTTGGAAGTTGGTTGACCCATTGTATGATACTTTTATACCGTTGCATGGCGATATTATTTTGTATCGTGGCACTATTCCGTCTTGGCCACGGAATCTATAAGAAATTGGTTGTTTCCGTTGTGCCATATCCAGTGCCGATAAACTTTACACGCGTTGATCGCAACTAGTCGTCCTTGTAATTACTGACTTGACTTTGAGAGGTATTGCCAGTTCCCAGTCCACACAATTATCTTACCCATCGCTAACACACGACAGCTGTGCTCCAATTCGCTTCTTCAGGGCTGGTCTACCTCGCATATCAATAAATCCGTGTGCTACTGTGCGTTTGATTACGCTCGGGAGTGAGTGCCTCTAGAAAGAAGCTGCCTGATGAGTGTATCGCTAACTCGAAGAGCCTTTACAGATTCTCTTTACAGAATCTAGTTCTATATCAACCGGTCCAATAATCATGAGACTAAACGGGCTCACTGTTTTCTCAACTTTGGCGCTGTCGGCATGTCTGTCGCATGCGGCCTCTGTGAACGAAGCGGCCACGTCCCTACGAAGTATCTCGAATGCGGGCGTTGCAATCCAGAGCGATCGCGTCAGTGACAATGCTGTTGTAGACAACAGCGCCAATGTGGTTGAAGAAAATGAGAACCAAGACGACGAAATAGACAATAATGAGGAAGAGGAGGAGGAGGCTGAAGAAAATGACGAGAATGGAGAGGAAAATGTAGACGAGAACGAAAACGAAGGGGAAAATGAGAATGTTGACGAAAACTTGGACCAAAATGACAACAAGAACAATGACAACAACAACGACAACAACAACGACGACGCGGAGAACAATAATAAGGACGACTTGAACAACATCGGCCAATTCCTCAACGGCAGCCTGGGTGACGGCTTCAACGACATCTTAATCGATCCGAACGATATCCAAGGTAGCCTAGGGCAGAATATTCTCAACCTCCTACTCTCAATGGGAATCTGCAACTTCAACATTGGCAGCCTCGGCGGTCTTAGCCTTGGTAACGAGATTCAGCTACTTCTCCAACTTCAACAGCTACAGCAACTCCAGGCGCTCGGCATTGTCAATTCATTCACAATCGACCAATTGATTCAACGAGAGATCCTGTCTAAGACATTCAACCTGAGTGAGTCCCAATGAGTTCTAGACCGGCCTTGCCCGAGTACTTGAATATCAATCATGCTAACTAAGGGGCGTTTAAGATATCATCAAACGAAGTATCAATGCGTCCGTTAAACAGGCAGCTCGCAGCAGGAAGCGCACAGTTATGCTAAAACGACAGTGCGCAAATGCCGGACAATCACAACGTGGTGCGAGTGAGAAGGCGTGAACCAACTAAGCTGCTACATCAGTACGATGTAAAAGTTCAGTGGTAGATTCGGGGGCAGAGGTGGAAATTAATTACGAGCTACGGAAGACCGTGAACAGTTGCCTCGCATCAATTAATAGACGTTTAACACTATTCATTGATGTTGGGAACTGCTCGCTCCACAGTGATCATTGATCACATTGAAATCAAAGTTACCATATAGGCAATTGGGTGGGAATAGCTTGCCCTGGTATCTATAGGTTTTAGAAAGCGATTTATATGTTGTTTCGTCACAAAACCGGATGTTTTTCTCTTCTTTTGTGTCATCGTGGCACATACGTATTATGTAGCCTAGCTAAGAATTCGTTCATATTGGAGAAATTGAGTACAATGGCCTGGCGAGCATAGACAATTCACGAATTGCAGTCGAAGCTCAAAATAAACAGCGATGATCGTGAAAGCCCAGAATATCATTTGTAGAGTGTGAGATAAACCTACGCATTCCGTTCATTTCACTGTGCATACAGATTCCCAGGACTTGACTGATCATGGCTTCGTTCTCGCTCACCGTGCTCTAAGAATTGTTGGTAAGAGAGGCTGTTTGCTGATACTCATGTTTCAATATAGCTGCTGACATAGTACCCCAAACGCTAAAACAAGATATAGGTGCAACGGCGAGGTTGCCAACCCAACAAGTAGCAGCATTGCTTCCCACGGCTTCTCACGCTCGGGTATTCACTCATCCCGCGTAGTTGCGACTCGAGGAGTAGGAAGGGTGAAAGTCATCGCTATAAGACCCCATGTTATGCCTTCGTTATGCTGACACTGACTTGCATGAGAATACCATGATGTCTGTCACCTGTGACAGTTCCGGCGGGAGCATCCCCTTCCTTGTAAGTTAGGGGTGTGACTGGCCAAGGTGCCTCTTAATTGCCGGAATCCGTTTCAACAATCCGGTCCTCCCCTACTACCACCCCAGCTTCTTTTATGACACATCTGAAAATGATCCTTCATAGGCTTTTAACGTCAGTGTTCGCCAAGGTCAAGAGGACGGATGGCAGATGCATCTTATTATATAGTCTTGGCATTCCAACCGGCTGAGCTAAGTCAAGTCCCCCGGTCCTCGAACCCCGCGATCTAGGAGTCCTTGTTTTGTAACAGCCCTTGAGCCGAGGCAGCCCCTGCATGTTAATCCCTGCCGCTCCCCATCCGAAAGTTGAGATTAGGTTAACTCTTGGACTTAGGAAAACTTGCTTCCAGTACTTAGTTAGCATTAAGGTGTACGATAAAACACAACTTCAATGAGCCACAATAAACGCTGTAGAGACTGTAGTACTTGGATGGCTGTTCTGTCTCTAAGCTGAGGCGAATTCATGCTTCTTCACTACGGTGATGTAGTTCACCTACTAGGGAGGCGTTGCCTATAGCCGGCCACAGCCGGTCAGAATATGTCAGGCAATCCCTGAAGATGATCAAGCAGGATGATGATCGAGGGTTTCTATCCGTGCGACATGAAGGTAATGGGATGATTGGTTGCAAGCCCAAAATATGTGCTAAAACAATGTCAAGGAGGTGTTCACGTCAGGTTCCAGGTGACATTAGATGACAGGGCCAACCATAGCAGGCCATATGAGCCGAGTCGGCCAGATCCCCATCCGTGCTTAACCAGCACGCTCCCCGGTCTGTAGGGGTAGGGGAAACATGGTCAACAGAGTTCGGATCAGTCTCGACTCCCGAATACAGCCTTATCGCTCCAGGTCTATAGGGCAGATGGCGGTGCCGGTGCCCGACTGCCATCAACACGAAGCCACGAACCCCTGTGAAGTTTCCTCCCTGCTCTACATCCTCTCTACCATGATGTTAAGCACAGTCGCCGAGCAGGATAGAATACCCTGCAGAGGCATGTTTTAGACAACCCACCTCTGTCCAGTGCGCAGTGCGGGTAGCATTCTGATACGCACCGGATCACTCCTTTGCTGATATTCCGGAATGTTTTTTGACCTCCCGTTTGCTTGGCTATGTTTCTTCGTCTGCTACCATCTGATCATCCTACCGTGCCATCCGATATATAAGTATGATGGTTTGGCCATCGGAAGGCATTTAGTTTTCGTTTCTCACCACCATCACAAAGACTCTACAGATCTAACCATCTCACTCTTTCCATACACTCCTTCAGAGGTATGCACCGAAGATGATCTCCATCTCCTAGCGAGAATAGTTTCGCTAACTAAATGGGAATAGCTGTGCTCGTTGTTCACTTCACTCTTTTAACGATCTCATCGAACTTTCGAGGTACGCACTACTTCAGGTAGCACTGCTAGCTGACGGTTTCTCTGCTATCTCACAGAATGAATGCGAAACTAACAGAAGGCTATAGCTGTGCTCATATTCAACTTAATATTTTAATATCGACATTCGATCTTTAACATCTCATTCAAAATGAAGGCCTCAACCATCTTCGTCAGCGCTCTCGCTGCTGTTGCCAGTGCTGCCCCTACCACCACGACCCCTGAGAAGCGCACTTCTATCGATCTGGGCGCTTTCAACCAGTTCGGTTTCGTGAATCAGGACCTGCAGTACCTCAACGCCCTCAACTTGTTCGACTTCCAGGCATTCGCTCAACTGGCGTCCTTCAACAATCTCAACATCGGCGGCTTCCAGAACATCTTCAACAACAATGTCTTTGACATCAACGCTTTGCTTCAGCTACAGCAGATCGCTCTCCTGTCTCAGCTTGGCGGCCTCGGTGTCTTCAGCAACTTCGACCTGTCAACCCTCCAACTAGGCGGTCTCAACTTAGGCCTCGTGAGCGGTATTGGCGGTTTCGATGTCGGCAGTCTCATTGACGCCAGCCTGGTCCCCCAAATTCAAGCTATTATCCAGCAGGCGCAGTTCTCCACTGTGATCATCTAGATTTGGATAAGGGTAGATACCTAGTAGAGTAGGAGATCGATGATCTCGACTCTTTCTCCATCGGGGGTTTCCGGTGCAAGGTTTCCTTCTCCGCAGGCGGGTGTTAATGGAAAATAGCAGGGGGGTTTGGTTAGAAGTTGCATGGGTCGGCTCATTTTGAGAGGGACGATGGGATAGAACAATTTGCCTTAGGTGGTAGTTAGTATACGATGAGCTTTCTTCGAATATACTATCTTGTCTTCACCAAATCGCACTAGCTCATTTTTATTCGCAACAGTGACATGTTTCCGCTTCTATTTGGTAAGAGTATCTATTTTGTAAGACAGACACCCTTTTCTGACTGGGTATGCTTGCTGCCTTTAGATGGAGCTTAGGCTCGCAACCAATAACCATCACCTAGGCTTTATTGGTAAGGGTGACGACAGAAAACAAACTCGTTACGGGTATGGATGCGCTTGGTTCACCGTCCTCATTTGGTCCCACGTATTGTGCTATAAGCACATAACTCAAAGGTTCGCTTGACTATAAGTGATGCCACTAAGTTTTCGACTGATAGGTTCATAGGATTTAGTTTCGTACCTCCCGTTCGACCGAGACATTTCCTGTACGAATACTCAAAAGCCAGCGCGAAGAGCCGCCCAGCCACCTCGCCGGCTGCCGGCACCATCCGGAAGGGCAGGAGACTCGCAAGATATCTCAAGCACCGTGCCTGCGATATTAGAGACCGGAACGTAGTGGGCTGCTCAATGCTTGGCATGTCCAACGAGACGCACAGCAGCACGTGGGCTATTTCGGACTCCTGTCCCACCAGAATGGTACATCGATCGCTCTTGATGGAGAAATAAGACGGGGGTGGAGGTGATCTGGGGTATGTATAGCACTTTTCAGTAGGTGGTCAGTCATAACACTAGGCCGGTGACTACTGCAAGACGTTGAAGAGGTCAGAGACTTGCTTAGCGATGCGGGTTGGACGCGCATAAGCTAAGGGGTGATGATTGCGTGGCGTTTCCTTGTCCTCGAGAGGAAATAGAACAATGATCTTATTCATGGAACCATTGATCCTCCCATGTAGATCACCATGGTGGCCTACCTGCATGGTACGAAAAGACAGTAGCATGCGTATTGGGTATAATGGGGTCTATGCAAAGGGATGGAAATTTGTGGATGGGTTTGACTCAAGGAGATTTACATAAAAGATCACTTCGAAGATTTTGTACACTGCTTATTAGGCTCCGTCATAAGTATCAAGATATTCCCGATACTTACGGCCACGAATAAGACTTTCTCAGAAAACTATCTACAAGTATGTATACAAAAGGATCTATGAGGTATGCAGTAGTATCGGTACAAGGAAATGCCCATGCTATCATATCGTACGGTAAACTGCAATAGAGTCCCGGCCATTTAATTCCTTCGAACCATTCCTGCTTATGCTCTGGAGATCAAAGTCTGGGCTAAGGTTGGGCATCAGCTCGCGATAATTACATGACCATCAGCCGGCCAAGGATTAGCACAAGTAAGCCGTACAAGAAATCGGTTGTAAGCGGCATACACGCTTGCCATGAGCTAAGTTGCCTGATGGCGCCGTTCTCATCAAAACCCCCCGATTATATACATGTGGATGTCAACTCAGAGCTACCTATCGAAAACAAGTAACTGGCATCGAATCCTCCTGGCCTCTGTCTGCATATAACCCCTGTATATATGCATGCTAACAGGCGGCAGCGATCTGCAAACAACCTGGGAACCTGCAGACATCAGTTACCGTAAATGCTCACCTACATGCTTCACAATTACTGCATTTGCATGCATGTCGTGTGGTGTACGTATCTGTCCACCTACATAGTACAGCACATGTGCCACACACATGCTGTTTTCCATTAGATCACAGATAGCTAATTGTAAGCATACGTGTACACCAATAGTATGTATGTAAGTACCTGGTTGATGATGTACAGTTGATGCGCCTACCTACCTTTTATTTCCAGCCAAATAGAGACAGCAGCATAATCGTATGCTAGCGTCTGCAAGTCCGAACACATGCGGACTTCGTCGGCACCTATCCAACTTCGATCTGACTTGGCCCCTGTGTGGGCGTCTGGCTTCGTTAGTGTAGGTACTCATACTCACACCTAGAACCTACTTACAATACATACATAGTAGATGGCGCCGAGCCCACACCTACATTTACTCTGTACACCACTTGGCTAGATGAGTAAGGCCGTTTGTGTTCACCGCGAGCCCTATGATACTTTTGGCGAGGGCAATGTGCGGTCACATCGGCTCACTACATGCATATATCGTACATAATAGGATGACTCCATATACACTACATGCACACCTACTTCTGTCTTTCAATGGGAAAGCTGTAGCCTAGCTGTGTACCTATACTCTCCAGGTGACGCCTACTCAGTACGCATCTCCATGTAATAATGTAAGCGGCATATTGTGTCTAGCGGGGGGTTGTACCGGTAAGCTTAATCGGGCCAAATTGCGGTCCACTAGGTAGTTCAAGGCAAGAATTATTTGCGAATATGAACAAGGTGTAGCGGTTAGTCTGGGGGACTTTTTGAGATTACTCACCCATAAATAGCCGTTATGACAGGGCTCCCGCACTATCTATCTATCTTGTTGTATACTATATCTCAGGTACACATACTCAGGACTTAAACACATTTGGAAACCCTTCAATCCCGCCCGGACCATTTAACCCACCTTGGGAAATAACCTAACACTATATTCTTACAGTACAGCTCGAGAATCACAGCACCTCGGCCTTACTCAGTGGCACAAAAGCAGGCACGGCGTGAGCGTATAGAGCTTCTTTTGTTATTAGTCTGGGTTGTCTATACTATCGACTTTCGGACTGGCCTTGAGGTGTCGTTGCTCGAATGTTGTCTGCAGCTATCCTGCTGCCCATGTTCATGTGTAGGTCATGACATGGACGGAACAAATAAGAAGCAAGCTCTCATTGTCTTGAATTGTATACCTGCCTCGATCACCTGTACTACCTTCTATCTATCTATAGCACATAGAGTGATGGGTAAAGTCTTAAGTGACTAATGGCAAGGTCATGTTGGCAGAGGAGACTATGGGCAAAGTGGTAAATCATTTCCCCATTGTCCTACATGTAGAGCTACGTTTCGCTATTCTCCGTACGTTTGATGGTAAGGTACTAGCAAGAAGTAAGGACAGATGCAACGTATCGGTAATAGGGCAATTAACCCCATGCCACTGCCTAAGTGTACCGCCCGAGGGGTAAAGGCAGGTCAGCTTTTCGCATTCATTTCCCACAGCGAAATCTTATTGACTGATTAACTCAATCCCTGTAAACCAGGCCTATATGAGGCGTGGATGTGACATATGCAAGAAGGAGACAGCGCCGTGGCTGATTCCTGCGTGGTCATCATCGTCATCAACGTCACTAGCACCAACCAGACATCCATCACTGACTTTCCGCTTCTTCATGAAGTTGGAAGAATTGATACCCTAATCTGTTCGTGATGCCAGTGCCTTTCGGGTGTACCGATGTTAATAGATGTAGATACGGGATGCATAGAGCGGCTTTCGGGGGGTTTTCGAAGCATCAGTGGATACGCCCATTGATTCCACTCAAAGGCAAGCTTTGCTGGCTTCCCGAGGGGACAACTGACTGCCCAACCGAATGATTATCAACCGAAGATTGCTTATGCAGAAATCTTGTTCTCGTTGTTTGCTTGTCGATCATCGTGAGTTGCCGAGTATCGTCAAGAGGTTCGGGATACCGCTACTGGGACCCATGTATCAAGCACAAGGTGCTTACCCGTGCCACACCGTCAGGCTACCTATGGCTTGTCAGCTAGTCATTCCTATGCTGGACGTCTCGGCCGGCCGACCGGCCTCGGGGCCTCTCCAAATGGCCTGATCTCGAGGTCGTGCTCGAGAGGTCTATCGAGTGTTGCGCTCGCTTTGCGCCTTACAGTAGGCACGATGCCTAAGCAAGGTCTACATGCGGCGAGGGTCCTCCGCAACAATGAATCCACGCACTTCGTTCTCCTCTAAGCCCCCCACGTCAGAGTGTAACAACGCCTCGGGACGCTAGCTGCCGGCTTACTGTCTGTCTTCACGGAGCCAAGTCTTCCTTCCACTGTAGGTTAGATGTTTCCTCCTCGGCTCATCGGTGGTTTTCTCTCCTCAGAATCCCCGCTCTCGCTTGGACTGCCGATACGCCTGGCATTCATTATGTTGTGATCATTGTCTGCCCCGCCCAAACATCGACTTGCCTTCTTCTTCTTCGCCTGTGGTGTGCTGTGGCCATGTAAGCCGCTTGTCGTTGAGATTGGTAGCTACCTGCAGCCTACCTGGCTCAGATCTTATACACCCTCCCAACTCGCTTAGTCGTTTCCTATCGTGGCCATCTAGACACACCGTTACCCAGCTCAGGGGTCTTGTGCCTCGGCGCTTGCATGGCTTGCACACTAGCTAGGTAGAGTGTACCTAGCATCTGCTTTGCGCCGCAATGAACATTTGGGAGGTTGTCAAGTAACATATACATACATATGCATATGGTCGGAGTAAACACCCCCCTGGGCTGAATTTGACGAACAAGGACTGTGCATTGGTTCCCAACCCCATATCTATACTATTTTCGGGACGTTTTTCATGTAATCATGAGGTGAGCGAACCAGTCAAGGATGTTCAGGTGACCGAATCGCGTCGCCGACGAGGACAACATTGATAGGCACATGCCGAAGCTTGGTTGTGGATTGCGTGATGCCTGATTCACGATAAGGTGCGAAGAGAGTCATGGTCAAGGTCACGCATACTAGGGAGATGGATTGATTCGCACGCCAAGTAAGACATGGTGATGGACGTTGATGGGATGCAGGCCCAGCCGTACAAGTTGAGTGACTGCGGAGGCTAGATGGTGAGAAACGAGCCGACAAACCAGCTCACAGTATGTATGGGTCCATCGCAACGTCAATAGACTGTACCGATGGAGGTACTGTTTTCATCCAAATAGAACTCCAAATTCCGCGGTCATACTATTGCTTGCCACTATGAATGCTACTAGGTATCTCCTTCTGGTTCACCCTAAGATCATCCCCGAAGTTGACTTTATGGCAGCCCAGGACGATGTAGGGTACCTTCGAAGGACTGCCAATAGAGTTGTTACTGAGTTTAAATACTATGAAATACTGGGAAAAGAATATAGTTCCTCAATAGAATCCCATCCGAGTCTCGCCATCTGAGCCC